GGGTTTACAGAGTTCCCGTCTCTATCCAGGGTTTACAGAGTTCCTGTCTCTATCCAGGATTTACAGAGTTCCTGTCTCTATCCAGGGTTTACAGAGTTCCTGTCTCTATCCAGGATTTAGGGTCTATCCTTAAAACTTGAGAGCAACTAGAGAGAGAGAGGGGGCAACTTCAGTCGCTTTTACAATTCTTTTTTCTTCATATTTTATATATTAACTTTTTGATATTTCAGGTATAGAGTACAAGCGCTCACACAACAAATTCATCCAGGGATGATAAGACTGACGGAGGAGGGGAAACCACAGGTTCATTGAATACATTTACGAGTTCATTAAGTACATTTAATGTGTACTGATGTACATTTTTTTCTTCCCTGTGTACAAAAGAACCCACTTTAAAGTTAAAAGAAGTGTTCGTGAAAAATTAAGAGGGGCATAGGCTGATATCGAATTGAATTCGATATTGATCACAACTAATTTGACTTTTAACTGTTGCGTCTTTAAGGAGAAAATGGTTATAAACGTCATAAACTTCAGAGAGTAGTGTCTATACAAATTCACAGAGCTTTGTATAATTTATCAGACATAATTAATTTAAATTTAAATTTAAACATTAAGATTTGACAACCTGTATTAAACTAATTTGATGCATTCATACAAGGTTGATATTTCACAATATTTTTTATTTTTTTGGTCGCTAGGTGTCTCTTCCACATGGAACCCCTGAAACATTGAGAGCAGAGACACCTATCAGCTAAATAATCGTCATTTGAAGTATAATGTATATAACACAAATAATAAATATAATGACATATTAACTATTTACGAATGCATCGTTTAAAATTCGACATTTATAGGTTGTGTTGTCTAAATGATTTTTTTTACAATTTATTTTTAAATTAAAATTTTTAACAAAATCTTACAAAAATCAGTAAATTTTTTCTCTGACTTGTATCTTCTTTTTAGCTGATATTCAGTTTTCAGTTTTGCCAGGAATGTCTGACTCAATAACTGGTTCAAACATAAATTCATCGTTTGATATTCTTTCAGGTCGGAAAAATAAAATTCACTGCACTAAAAGGGGTTTTTAAATTCTGAGGATATTTACTGTCAGAATTCTGCCTTAATAATGACAAATGGGATAAGAAAGGATAGGGAAGGAGTGGATATTTTTAAAAGAGCTCCCGTCTCTATCCAGGATTTACAGAGTTTCTGTCTCTATCCAGGATTCACAGAGTTTCTGTCTCTATCCAGGGTTTACAGAGTTCCCGTCTCTATCCAGGATTTACAGAGTTTCTGTTTCTATCCAAGATTTACAGAGTTTCTGTCTCTATCCAGGGTTTACAGAGTTCCCGTCTCTATCCAGGGTTTACAGAGTTCCTGTCTCTATCCAGGATTTACAGAGTTCCTGTCTCTATCCAGGGTTTACAGAGTTCCCGTCTCTATTCAGGGTTTACAGAGTTCCTGTCTCTATCCAGGATTTACAGAGTTCCTGTCTCTATCCAGGATTTACAGAGTTCCCGTCTCTATATTTTCCTTGTTTCTGGCAAGAGGGAGGGGGGAAGAGAAGCGTAGAGAAACCCCTCCTTCTTTCCAATATTATTTTTTCTTTTTTTCCAAGTAGGGTGTACTGCCATGTTATTCCACATAGGGTTCTGTTCAGCCACAAGAAACTGGAGAGAGTTGCATAAGAACTTGACTGTTCTGAGCTCCCTTAATGCTTACACATAGAGCCAGATTCAAAAGAAAGAATTAACGTCTTCCCGACAAGTTCTGATACTAATAACAGCTAACCAGGCTTGTTATTAAGGAGTATATTTAAAGGTGCCAGTAGCAAAATCTGAATCCAGATAGCTAAAAACCTCCATTCTCCAGGTTAATACAACGTTGAAAGATTATTGCAGGCCTTCAATATTCCATTTATTTCTTTTCCATTTGTGTGCAGGGGTGTATACGGGGGATATACACCCCTGGCTAAAGTTTTTCCAGATTGCCATTTTCTTTCTGTCACCCTTTATCTCTGAGTACTTTTAGAAGCGCCGAGCCAGAGCCAGTTGTTGATTCTCTGAAAGTTAGATGTACACTGATATCTGAATGATTAATTTTAAATTTAACTAGGCTTTTTAAATTGTTCTTTTTGTTTACATGTTAAAACGAAGAAGAAATTTTTACAAAATTAAAAACCTTTAAAACACATTTTTTTCAAATTTTTATCATTCATAAACCTTCCCTGTGGTCACGTGATGTCCCACAAAAAATTTGGGCCCGATCGGTTCAGCCGTTTTGACGTTTATTGGATACAAACAAACAAACAGACAAACAGACAAACAGACAAACAGACAGACAAGCCAAATATATATATAGATTAAACTATTTACGATCTGAGTGAAATAATGCTACTCTGTGAATTTGTATGGATGTTACGCTCTTGGGTACTTTGTGTACTGCATTCTAGTGCATATGACTGTATAGTGTAAATTGCATGTAGCACATTTTATGTTGAGAAGAAAAATCTAGTTTATTTTTGCATTTTTAAATTTGAGAAAAATTCCTGTAATCCCTGAAAGATATCAGCAAAGTTCAATAAACCTGGGGTTTACAGAGGATTAGATTTATTGGAGTAGACTCTAGTCTTCTTATTTATTCACCTTTTTACACAGAAACAAATAAATCGGCCCTGATTTAGACAACGGGAAAAAAATCCTCACCAAAAAAGTTCTTTTTTATTATTGAAATTTACGGCTTTTTGAAGATTGTAAATTTAAGAAATACAGTACTTTCTTTTCATATAAAGACATGTTCCTTAAAGTTTACAATTTTTCTTTTTGAAATAATATCTTATTCTTTAAAGCAACATTTGACATCAAAACAAGAAAGTTTTAAACACTATCTAATTTTTCCTTTTTTATTAAAAATCTAATCTAATCTAATCTAAATAATGCAATCTAATCTAGGATTCAGTGTCTGCAGCTGAAAGTTATTCTGAAAGTTCTAGAATAGAAGAACCTCAATATATTCAGAACTTTGAGGAAACTAGTCAGGTAGGTCAAATATAGGTCAGGTAGGTCAACTGTAGGTCAGGTAGGTCAAATATAGGTCAGGTAGGTCAAATATAGGTCAGGTAGGTCAAATATAGGGCAGGCAGGTCAACTGTAGGTCAGATAGGCCAATTATTAGCCAGATAGGTCAACTGTAGGTCAGGTAGGTCAAATATAGGCCATAGTAAGTAAAATTTAGGGTAGATAGGCCAAAAAAGGGCTACATAGGTCTATTATAGGTCAATCAGGTCAAATATAGGTCAGGTAGGTCAAATATGGGTCAGGTAGGTCAAATGTAGGTCAGGTAGGTTAAATATAGGTCAGTTAGGTCAAATATAGGTCAGGTAGGTTAAATATAGGTAAGGTAGGACCACTGTAGGCCAGGTAGGTCAAATAAAGGTCAGGTAGGACCACTGTAGGCCAGGTAGGTTAAATATAGGTCAGGTAGGACCACTGTAGGCCAGGTAGGTCAAATATAGGTCAGGTAGGTCAACTGTAGGTCAGGTAGGTCAAATATAGGTCAGGTAGGTCAACTGTAGGTCAGGTAGGTCAAATATAGGTCAGGTAGGTCAACTGTAAGTCAGGTAGGTCAAATATAGGCCATAGTAAGTAAAATTTAGGGCAGATAGTTCAAATATAAGCCATGGAGGTCAAATAAAAAATATTAATAGTAAAAGATCATCTAAAAATTTCATTCATATCTTTGAAAAATATAATCCACATTTTTTGAAACTTTTGAATTTTCTCGCGAGAATCAAGCTTTAATATTAAACCAACATAAAATGTCGATTATAATGTACTTGTCCAGGGTTTCCCAATGAAATTTTGTAAAATTGAGTACCGAGGGGACAGTTTTTGTACAGTTTTTATATTCAAGGTGAACAGGCTTCATAACACTCATAGAAATGGTAGTAGCATAACAAGTATGAAGCCTAGAACGAAAAAACGAACACCTTGAAATAACTGAAATTTATGCTTTCCAAAAACATTTTGTTTTACAAATTTAATATAAACTGTTCCCTAAGCATCTATAACCACTACGGCAAAGTTTTTTAAGAGGGACACCCTACACCCTGTATCTCATTCCTTGTACAATTGGTTTGTATACATTTAATATCAAGGTTGCTGTCCCTGTAACATTAAGTTTGAATATATTTAATATTAAGGTTGCTGTCCCTATAACGTTAAGTTTGAATACATTTAATATTAAGTTTGCTGTCCCTATAACATTAAGTTTGCATACATTTAATATTATGGTTGCTGTCCCTATAACGCTAAGTTTTTATACATTTAATATTAAGGTTGCTGTCCCTATAACATTAAGTTTGAATACATTTAATATTAAGGTTGCTGTCCCTATAACGCTAAGTTTTTATACATTTAATATTAAGGTTGCTGTCCCTATAACATTAAGTTTGCATACATTTAATATTAAGGTTGCTATCCCTATAACGCTAAGTTTTTATACATTTAATATTAAGGTTGCTGTCCCTATAACGTTTAGTTTGAATACATTTAATATTAAGTTTGCTGTCCCTATAACATTAAGTTTAAATACATTTAATATTAAGGTTGCTGTCCCAATAACGTTAAGTTTGACTGTAATGATAAGTTATATATGTGGTGGAGCAATACTATTCGGAGAATGGGAAGGATGGAATTTTCTAGACGGATTCTACTTCTGTTTCATTTCACTCAGGGATTCAACAATAAAAATACATTTTTCTCAAACCTTCCAAGGGCAAATATATTTCCAATAATTAACCCCTCCTCCTCCTCCTCCTCCTCCACCCTATCCTCCCATTTTCTGATTCTTGAATATCTTGTCAATCTTTGCTCTCTACCCTGATATCCCATTTTTGGTGAAAGTGGAAATATTTTTGAGGATTTTTCATTATGCAGGAGAAATATTTATATCCCTGTTTTCAGTAAGGAGGAGAAACATATATATCCCTGTTTTCATTTTTAGAACTTTTTTACGCGTCATTTGATTTTCTGTAAGCTGTAATTTAAATTTTTGTAAGCTTGTAACAGTAAAACAAACATTCTAAGTTCCTTGAAGAGATGAGGAATGAACCGCTAACTCTTAATTTGATAAAAGAAAATTGTTTAGAAAATATAATTCCTTGTTTTTGTTATTATTTCTTTTATCATTATTCTCATTATCAAATTGTTATTATTTTTATTATTATTATTATTATTATTATTATTATTATTAGTTGTTATTATGTTTATCGTTATTGTTATTACTATTATTATTATTACTATCATTATTATAATAATAATTATCATTATTATAATAATATTTATTATTATAATAATAATAATAATAATAATAATAATAATTATTATTATTATTATTATTATTATTGCTAAGTTGTTGTTGAAATTATTTTTATTATTATCATTATTATCATTATTATTGTTTGTTGTTGTAATTATTTTTATCATTATCATTATCATTGTTGTTATTGTTGAATTAGTACGATTGGGTTTGGAGATATACTACCTGGAGATGCAATGGACCAGGTATGGCCATGTCAAAATTTAAATGTCGTCGTACAATCTCTGAGTAAACCCTTTCAATTACTTTTATTGCTAGCTGCGATCTAGACGTATATTTTTTTTTATCTTTTTAAAAGAATCGATCCTGTCACATCTTTCATTTTATTAAATTGTGTCTAAAATTGGCTTTGCCGTCATATTTAAACACGTTTACAATGTTGAAGACGACATAGAGGAAGACGACAATGTTATAACCATTTTAGAAGTTTTGGAATAAAATTTCAATATCTGTCGAATTAAGAAATTAACTGACATCGAATAAGTCTTAATTCTTACTGTTAAGCAGTGTAAACGATGGAATATTTTCTCATTTTCATATTGTTGGAATGGTCGATGAGAATTTTGTATTTTGTAACTGATTAATTTCATACAGGGTTACCCATAAAGGATGAGACTTCAGAGACGACTGTACGGAATAGATACTACTTTTTCCCTTATATTCATGATTCCCTGCAGCTGTCAACTTGTTTCTTTCTTTTCCAAATCATTTAATTGCAAGACTATATAAAGAACAGAAGACGTAATTTAACCTTGGGATCGTATTTTACGAGTTTCAGGTCGTCCTTACACAGTCTTATTATGTGTGGGTTACCCTGTACGTTCAAACTCTTAGTAGAGCTTTTTTCAAATTACAAGTTTACAAAGAAAGGCTGTTTATTGACAACTTCTCTTCGTCTTGATTGTATTGATATATACGATGACAACTGTATTGATATATACGACGACGACTGTATTGATATATACGACGACGACTGTATTGATATATACGACGACGACTGTATTGATATATACGACGACAACTGTATTGATATACGACGACAACTGTATTGATAAACACGACGACGACTGTATCTAGGATGAGAGTGAGGCCAAGCTGGCTGGTGTCGTCAACATCCAGTTTATCTTCTGCAGCCTCTACATCCTCCTCGGTATGGCCGTCATAGCTATGTGCTTCAACCTGATGCAGGAGAAGGTCGTCTGGGGGGTCATTGCCCTCGGAAGAAAACTTGGGATCGTCAAATATGATTAGACCTCTCTACTCTTAAAATACTTTTAGCACATCTTTTTGGTGATTTTTTCTACCCTGTGAAGTGACATTCCTTAAAGAATACAGAAACCAGTGACATTCAATAAACATGAACTCCCTAGGCTCTAACATAAAATCAATAACCTTTGTATAGACAGAGAAATGTGATAATTTCATTTAACTGGTTTAAAGGGCGAGACGGGCAAAAACAAGAGATTTTGCGAATTTTACATCAAGAAGGAAACAGAAAAATCAGCTTTTGTTTGACAGTTGACATCACAAACATTGTTGCTAAAATTGTGAAAACTTTTACCCATCTCTCTCTTTAAACTCCCTTTATAGTTAAAAAACACTTTTGTTGTTTCATTTGAAATATAAATAAGTAAAAATTTTGTTTACCACCTTTTGACCAAAATTACAGACCTATGATTCCCACAATATTGGGAGGTTAAGTTACTTTACACCCTTTGGGACAATTAATTAAGATAACGACCCACTCAGCGAAGTTTTCGTGAAAAAAATCACGCATTTTCATCTCAAAAGAGGATAAAATTGTGCAACTTTTCCGTAAAATAAAAATTTTACTTAAGCAAGGGTTCCATCGAGCAATTTTGCATACAAAACATCTTTAGCTGCGCTCTTGATGTTTTGTGGGCAAAATTGGTCTTGGAAATTCTTGATAAAGTAAAATTCCCTTAACTTCCCTGTAAAGTAGTTGTAAATAATTAAAATTCTTTAAGAAGGATATTTTGCAATATTTAAGAAACTAGGCTCACAGGACTCTTCGCGCCCGCCCTTCTTTTAATTATTTCAGTTCACGCACCTCTGACCCTTCAGTAAAAGTAAATTCAACCTAAAGTCTGACCGTGTCTTGTTGCACCGGTTAGTCCTATTGAATGTCTGCTTTATTTACCCAATGTCCGGACGATACAGTACAAACTGGGACCGGAAAGGTTGACCCGGCTCGGAAATTCAAATGTACTACGGCTGCAAATTGCAAAGTTGTTGCAAATCTATTTTTTCAACCTTTACTTCTTTGTATACATATTCAAAGATTTTGTAGATTTCAACATTTTTAAAAGATTGTTCTATTTTAACCGGCAATAAACTCTCTGTGGGGTAATGTAAGGTTTACAGTGTGTGCCCGTTTGGCTGAGTAGTTTTAACATTTAGTCGATGGAAAAACAAACAATCAAACCAACAGACAGACAAACCAAATATGTTTTTAGAAAAGTAGAAAATAGTTTATTTTCTTGAATTTCTCAGCAATAAAGTGTTGGCGAAGATTGAAATGGGTTTAAGAGTAAACAATAATTAAATCCAAAGTGTCTGTAAAGCCTTCTTGTCAGTCACAAATTTTCTTATTTTGCTTTTATCTCCTAACCTTGTAAAAAATAACCTGCATGGTACAGGGCCTCTCCTCCCATACAGAAATAAATACTAAGCTGGTCCAGTGCAAAGCAAGCTTCTACCTCCTACTCCCCCTCACCCATAGAGAATAGAATATATAGAGAGGAATTAAAAGAATCTCTCGGTATGAAGTTTGTCAGTCCCTTTCAGCCTAAAAGGGAGTTCAAAGTGTACAAATCATGTAAATGTTCACAAATTATATGCAGTAGAGTACATTAATACAGTATGTTCCCTAGACTATCCATTTCAATTTCGAATTCATGTGATCCTAAGCAGAGGCGCAACTAGGGGGGGGGGGGCGCCCCCCCTCTCAGGTGCTAGGGGAGGGCGCGCGCCCGGCCGCCTCCTCCCTAGTTGCGCCTCTGGTACTCAGGACTACAGATAGTAACAAAGAACCACAGTTACAAAAAAAAGATGTACATAGCATTTATCCTTGATAAAGGAGATTATGGGTTACTAAGACTGCAGAGCAAAGAAAGTAGCAGGCCAAAGAATATGAGAAATATTGTGATTATTTTAACAAGATAACAAACATAGATTTATACTCCTCATATAGTAGAAAGGCAGGATTTAGTTTAGGGCGCGTATACATACACAGTATACACGCTTATCCCCTGTGTTAGTGATGTATGTAGCCTGGCATGATCACAGTGATCTCAGTTTTCTTTTCAGTAAGCACCAAGCAGTCCTTCAGGATATTCTTCATTAATATTCTCGTCATCATGCGTGTATTCAAAATCAGCAACATCCTCAACTTAATTGATATTGATATTGATATGTCGGCAACAGCTGTGTACAACATATACAGATCAAAGTTACTGGAGAGTATGAAACCTGCTGACACCGTTGTAAAGTAGATAAATCTAACATTACCGACCTAGGAATCTCCCACATTTGAAAAATCACATTCTATTATCTGTCCTTCAACTTAATAACAAACGACTCCCCAGCAAGATTTGAGAAATCTATGGTCCAAGGATGGCATGGGAAAATGACAAATTATTAATTGACTTCAAACAAGACATTCTTTCCAACGCACAAAAAATCAAAGAAGATCTTGACAAAGGAGATAACATACTACAGAAAAAAATTCAAAAAGCCATCAAGCGGCCGGCCATGTCGGTTTTTTAAATAAATATATTTTTTATTTTACAATAGCTAAAACAAAATATTGGATAAGACAAATCAGTTAGACGACACATAAGAGGCAACCAAGCTCTGGCTAATTTGAAAAGCGCGAGGTACCATTATTTTTTTTTTCCTGCAGTGGTGGGAAATTATATCAATACGTCAGTGAAGACAAACTTTTCATTTAAGTTTTGATTGTTATCAAGCTCATTCAATTGACAGCTTCTTTTGACTTCTATGTTTATGTGTAGAGGGAGGGAACCCTGGACGCCATGAGCCTTCGCTATGCAGACACAAACCTCCCAGATTNCAGACACAAGCCTCCCAGATTTACTAGGCAGACCGATCCTACGCTATGCAGACCATAGCCTCCGCTATATGCAGTAAACGAGCCTCCACCGTACAGCACAGCTTTTTTAATCTTGGTTTCTATGTGTAATGAAAAATTGAAACATTTTTTTGACGTAGTGGCATAAGAATTTTACTTAAGAATAGAGTTATTTAATGATTGTCATGATTGGAAATATATGGACTCAAAACGTGGTTTATAAGATTTATACTAAAACTTTAAACATTTCTTGCCAAGAAGTAAGAACCGCTGATACCATCTGTCAAATCCAATTTAACTGGAAACCCCTAGATAAATGTATCTAGGTGGAAACCACAATATATTACAATGCTTTATAATACCATATGGAAAATAAAAGGTTTGAACCAAAACCTAAGACTTCATACACACATTTTACATAATGAATGTGGGTAACATTTTCTGTGAGGTGGAGAGATAACACATTTTTTAATTGAAAGGACAATATTTGCTCTAAGATCAGATTGAAAATGTGAGTATTTTAAATGGATCTTAAATTTTTTTTTGCAGAAATGCCAACTTAGCAATTTCAAATAACTATCTGATTCACAACAGTACCATCTAAACATTTATCTGATCAAGAATGAATGAGATATCCCTATTCTTCGGTCTGAAAATTAATTGGTTTCTCTGTAGACCAATTTTCAGATTGTTCCTCCTGGACACGTCTAGACTCACATGTTTGACAATATCTAAATGTGATTTTTCAAAAATTACCGCTTAGCGCCTAACTTTAAAGAATTTGATATTTTCACCTTAGTCAGCCCCTACCATCTTGTTATCATCTTTAGCCCAATAATTAGCTATATGCAAGTGTGGGACAAGTCTAATCGAAGCCCCCTACTAATATCGAGGAATAAGGGTTTAATGAATTGAGCAAAACAACACAACTAAAGGGTGTCCCTCGAAACATGACATTTAATAAATCGTCATTTTTAGTTAAAACATCCTTTTGCTTCATTATCTTTTACTTTGAAATCAATTTTAGTATAACATGACTCCCATATAATACTTTTATTGATCTTTGGTATCAAACAACTTAACAAATTATGGAAAAAGACATTAAACTATTCACCAACTGTCATGTTTCGTGGGACACCCTGTACGTTGCCGGTCACATCAAAGAATAATAAAGACTAAGTTGTCCAGACTGGTGAATGGTGATGGTACTCAGCAGAGGCGCAACTAGGACTTTTGCTAGGGGGGGGCAATATATTATTTTGTNCTCTCTCTCTCTCTCTCTCTCTCTCTCTCTCTCTCTCTCTCTCTCTCTCTCTCTCTCTCTCTCTCTCTCTCTCTCTCTCTCTCTCTCTCTCTCTCTCTCTCTCTCTCTCTCTCTCTCTCTCTCTCTCTCTCTCTCTCTCTCTCTCTCTCTCTCTCTCTCTCTCTCTCTCTCTCTCTCTCTCTCTCTCTCTCTCTCTCTCTCTCTCTCTCTCTCTCTCTCTCTCTCTCTCTCTCTCTCTCTTTCATTTCCCAGTATGCCTTAACTATACCAATTTTCATGTAAAATACACCAAAAAATAGTTTTATGGTAATTATTGTTAAATAATAGATAATTATTAACTATTACATATAAATCACAAATATATTGAATTAAGGTAAATGGCTCACTAGCAAACACTAACTATACGAAAATGCCAGCAAAACAAATGGAAGCTTATTTAGAACAGCGGAATTATCATTATATTAAAAAAGTTTTTTTGGCTAACCAGAAATTTAAGTGAGTAGCTTTTTCAGGACTTTTTTGTATTTCTTTTAAATAGCAATATATTAGTACAGGCGCCAATAAATCTAATTCCTAATTTAAATATTGCATCTTTGATTGCTAAAGAGTCTAAGCTATTGGTTTTAAAATAACATGTTTATTTAAGCTGTTATGAACTGTTATAATAAAAAGTAAGGCCTAATACAACACAATACATACCAATGCAGAAAATAAATGTACAACATATGCTTCATTTCTATCTTCGTATTAAATGTCTAACATCGGCAAAATTAACTGTAAATTATAAATTGTAATATGTTCCAAGTCAGATATCAAATGTCTATTGCATGTTGAACAATGAACAGTAAAGACAGGTTTTTAAAAAAGCATGTTATGTACTATGTTGCACAGTCCTACTCTTTCATAGATGTACGTCAGAAATTATGGGAAAGGGTTCATAATAAAATGAAAAAAATATACATTTGTGAATGAAAAACTTCAATGTATAAAAGACAATAAACATGGTTTAAAGGAATAAATTCTAGGGAGATTCACAAGCTCTTTTTCCAGCACTTTAGTAGCTATCGCTCAATTAGAGAGAACAGAGAGATTTGATTTTTGTGATCCTAAGCAGAGGCGCAACTAGGGGGGGGCGCCCCCCCCCTGCAGAATGAAAAAAAGAAAGAATGGCGAAAATCAGTATCACAGGAATAAGAAAACCAATAGAGTTATTTTAGAAATTTTATTATATTATAGTTAGTTTTAAAAAAAATATTTTTATCTTTCTCAATTCTCAAGGCTATTGTAAACATTTAATGTAAAAAAAGTTCTGAATTGTAATTTATTTGTGTTGAGTTTATAGAGTACTCGTAGATATCAAACTTTGAATTCTTTTGGTAAAATATTCCAAGTTTGAAATATCAAATGTTTACACCACTTGGTGCAAAGATTTGGGGATTAAAATATTTGAGTTTGTGGCAAAAACTCATTTCCAAATCAAGAGAAAATTCTGAACCATGCGCCTCTGATCCTAAGAATATATTATGTTCTCTGTCGCATGCCAGGGGTGTATAATTTTAAGGGGGAAGGGGAAAATGAATAATTAGACATCGGAAGGCAAGTTTTTTTTAAATCCTTTTGATAATTTCCCCCATCATTTATTTTCTTTAATTCTGCTTAAGAAATCGTAGCTTACGGGATAAAAAAAGATTTTCAGAGAGAGCGGGGGGATTATTATTTAAGAAAATATACCCCCTGAGGCATGTTTACTGTACACTGTACATTTTGAACTCAAACGAACACAACAAAATCTAAAGTCATCTGTTCCTTATAATTTCAAAATAAAGCCGAAGCATAAATGATTTGTTTTTTAAGGTTAGAGTCGAATAAAACCAAAAAATTAGATTCATTTTAGCTTTTTTGGCACCTGAGAAAATGGGGTATTTTGTTTTTGATAACTTGAGAGAGTGGGAGGGGGCTGATATGATAGCTTGTCAATGGCGCGTAAATAAAAATTCAGAAAGATTAAAATCAACAATAGGTCCTAGACAATTAAAATTCTTAATTTTCTCAATGTGGGGAAAGGTAGATGTGAAATAAAATACTGAAAATGCGGGAAATCCATTTCTTAAAATATTCTCTTAGGGAGTCAGGGTTTGGAAGTTTTTCCTCTGTGGATTACAAGGCGAGCTGTGTGCACTAGAAGCTCCAGGCGATCTTATACAGCTGATCGTAAGTTTTCCCGGGTTTTCGACCAGACCATGCCGCTTTTTGTGATCTTCCTTTGGTAATCCGCCATTTTCCTGAGCTAACTGTACACAATCAGCTCTCTCCCCTTGAACTGGTTTTGTATCGTTCATCTCAAGGTCCTCAGCAGTTGATTCATCATCCTCAAAGTCCAGAACAGTTGCCAAGGATTCTTGAGATTTGAAGAAATATTCCTAAAAATTAATTATCAAAATAAAAACTTTGACACAAATAAATCATAACAATTACACAAGCAGATTTTAGAAAAAAAATCTAATTTTAAAAATAATTTATTATAATTTATATATATATATATAATTTATTAACCTGAGGTTTGGATTTATTACTTATTTCTTTATCTTGTCAGGCATCCGTCTCACCTAAACACATACAACAATCAAAACTTGCTGCGGATGATTCTTACCAAATAGAAAAATTGTATTACGTTTACTGTTTAGCCAGGTTTATTTTTTACATGAAAATAAAGAAATAAAGACAATGGATAAGGTATTGATGACTTGCAATTACCATGGCACTACCGTACACTTGTTGCTCGGTCAAAACAACGCGGACGTAATCAATTCAAAGTCGGATGTGTTTCACAGATTAAGGCAATTAACAGCCTGAAATTTAAAGTTTTCGTCGTAGATAGAGAGATTATAGATAATCTTCAACATTAATTATAAAATGATCTCCTACCCCAATCATCACTAAAGCCTGAAATTTAAAGTTTTCGCCGTAGATATGGAGATTATAGATAACCTTCAACATTAATTATAAAATGATCTCCTACCCCAATCATCGCTATCATATTCTGAATCTGAAGGTCCCTCATCACTATCTGATACTTCCAGTGCTACTCGTCGAGCGAGTATGCTCGCGACATCACTCAATCCTGGAAGAAAATTCGCATTGGGAATGCAATAGAATTTAAATTATAACGAACCAATAAAATGGTTTTTTTTTGTCATTTCCAATAATAATATTTCTTTTGTCCGACTGGGTCCGACTTCATCATAAAATGAAATGATTTTATAAATAACGTATCTTGTAAGAATGATCGAATCCCACAATTGCTAAAGAGGAAAGGGTGGGGGAGAGGGAATGGGTGAGGAAGGGGGGATATAAGAAGGATGGGGTATAAAAGAGGGAAGGGGGGATATAAGAAGGATGGAGGTATAAAAGAGGGGATGGGGACATAAGAGGGATGGCGGGATATAAAAAGGAAGGGTGATCACTGATCATCCGTTGGGTGGATAATGGATATAAGAGCAAACGTTAGGGGGTTGAAAGGGGAGAGAGAGATGAAAGAAGGATGAAAGAAGGATGAAAGAGGGAAGGGGGGGGGAGAGGAGGTGGTATGTTAGAAAAAAATGAAGGCCCACCTGCTGACTGAGATTGGTCTGCTTTCTGTTCAACTTTCTTTAAAGATATTCCTAGGAAACAAGAAAACAATAAGAAAAATAAATCAAACGAGGCGGTCGATACAAATACGGGAAAATACAGTCATAACCAGCTAAAACCGGAAAAATAACACTATCTACCAGAGATGTATCATTTGTCATATTTGGACATCAAACATGGGATTTAGAGGGGGGGGGTCAAATTGACCCCCCCCCAGCGTATCCTGGTTTACAAGTACCCCAGCAGAGATAGGGTTAATTGGAAATGTCGCAAGGTCGAGTTAACTACGAAATTGTGGTTCTCATAATTTGCTGTGAAAAATTAACCGTCACAAATCAAAATATCAATTTTGCTGCATTTCTAATTAAAGATAATACAAAGACGACTTTTATTCCGTTTTTTACTGAATATCTCCGCAAGCGGGCAAATGCTTAATAAAGAATTAAGTTCTTCAAGTACAAATATTTCTAGGTGTTCATTTGAAATAAACCATTCTGCACAGACACTGAAAATGCTCTGCCTTTGATACACAGTTCCCATGCATTGGCAATGGTTATGCCCTCGTTTTGAGAAAAAACCTTTTTTGAAGCAATTACAGGGTTAAACAGTAGATAATAATCTATTAAGAAACTAGAAAAAAATCAGCTGACTAAAGTTACGTAATTGGTCAAGAACAACATATCAGCTGATTGCAGAAAAAAATCTGCTAATTAAAGATATGTGATTGGTCAAGAACAACGAATCAGCTGATTGCAGTCATATGATCATTGATCATTTCTCAGTCCAGAGCTTGGAACTCTTGTATTGAGGATAACGAGATCAATGTTTGATATCGACCCTTTGTTAATTTGCCGATTAATTTAATCTTAATCCGAAATCCAAGGTGTAATTATACCCTGAAGGGTTATCTGAAATGAAAAGATTAAGCATTGATTCCAAATTGAAAGTGCCCAAAGTAGATATCTTGATTAAACTATCAGAATTATGAGTGCAGATGTATTACCGTCTCTAATTGCTTTAAGTAGATCTGATCTGACGTCATCCTCGGGATCCTTTAATCGATCAGTATTATTTTACCACTTTCTTAATTCAATCAATCAGTATTATTTTATTCATTTCTTAATTCAATCAATCAGTATTATTTTACTCATTTCTTAGTTTAATCAATCAGTATTATTTTACTCATTTCTCAATTTAATCAATCAGCATTATTTTATTCATTTCTTAATTCAATCAATCAGTATTATTTTACTCATTTCTTAATTTAATCAATCAGTATTATTTTACTCATGAGAAATTTAATCAATCAGCATTATTTTATTCATTTTTTAATTCAATCAATCAGTATTATTTTACTCATTTCTTAATTTAATCAATCAATATTATTTTACTCATTTCTTAATTCAATCAATCAGTATTATTTTATTCATTTCTTAATTTAATCAATCAGTATTATTTTATTCATTTCTTAATTTAATCAATCAATATTATTTTATTAATTTCTTAATCAAATTAAATCACATCACATCACATCACACGACACGACACGACACGACACGACACGACACGACACGACACGACACGACACGACATGACATGACATCAAATCACATCACATCAGTAAAGATGACTTAAGGCTCCTTAATGTAGATTTGAGTTTCAAATGATATTTTACGTAGTATATCATTCAATACTAAATTCAACTTTACTTTAGTTCACTTGCAAGTAATATTCATCGCAATTAATCAATATTTTTTTTATAAGTTACTCGATATTCCAATGAATTACAGATCAACAATTTACTGAATTACTCATTATTTTAATCAATTAGTCAAAAAGATTTTCTATTTAGTTTTACTTTACTCATCTTACTTTTTATTTTATTTTACTCAATTGATCACTTCATAACTTAACAAGATAATTCATCAATTCAAATAAAACCACTGATCAATCGGTCTATGATAAAATAAGAAAAATAATAATGTTCCTTGAGTATAGGGGTCGCTTTCTTCAATTGAGGTCTTCCAGAGACAATACTTTCAAACACACTCTGCATACCAGGGTTCTAAACACAAGGTATATTATAGAACACAATAACACTATCTACCAGAGACAATACTTTCAAAGACACTCTGCATACCAGGGTTATAAACACAAGGTATATTATAGAACACAATAACACTATCTACCAGAGACAATACTTTCAACAACACTCTGCATACCAGGGTTCTAAACACAAGGTTTATTATAGAACACAACCAGAGACAATACTTTTAAACACTCTGCATACCAAGGTTCTAAACACAAGGTATATTATAGAACACAATAACACTATCTATCAGAGACAATGAATACCACTCCATTCACTCCCCAAAATTAAACTTTATAATATTCCTGGACAGAAACTATTGTGTGGTGGGAACTAAGTATTGATGCCATTATGTTTACCTGAGCGATCTTTTTAACATCGCCGTTAGGTATGATCCCCAAATCTGCTGGCGGCGGGGGTGGAGGTGGAGGAGGAGGCGGAGGGGCGTGGCTAGGACTAGGCTCAGTGCCTGGAGCAGGGGGAGGAGGTGGAGATGGGGCTAGATGAGGGGCGGGTATTCTGGCGGAGAGAGTATCTGGGACAGGCGGAGGAGGCGGAAGATCTGGATCCTGGTGCACCGGAGAACCAGACACTTGAGAACCGTTAAGCGTCATTCCTGCGATTTCGTTGGCAGGGGGTGGAGGAGGAGGGGGCAAAGAGTCACGCCCGGCGCTTCCTGCCCGCCCACCGCGTGTTGGAGTTGACGTAGGGGGCGGAGCAGGTGGCGGGTTGACTGGCCGCCGTTGAGGAGTTTCTGATCTTGATGAGTCTGATTGTGAGTCTATTGCGGGTGGTTCTTGTGTATACTGCTGCTGGTGTGGAAGATCAAACTGTACAGATCTATGCTCTGGATCCCGGAGTATACGAGGAGTATATATAGGTTCCTAAACATATTTTTATTTAAAACGGTTGTTTTTCTTGAACCGGACAGGTTAGCATTTATCATTTAAAATCATTTAATGTTAAAAAAAAATTTAACTGTCATTATCCACAAAATGTTATTTTGAACATAACCTTTTTCATTTACATCCCAATCATAAAAACAATGTTCATCATCAATGTGATCACTGATCATCATCATTATCATCATCTTCACAATTATTTTAATCATGATTATTATCAATATAATCATCATACTTGTCAAAAGTTTCAAGATAATTTTCATACTGATCTTAATGATAAAAAAATTCATGAAGATTTTTTAAAATTATACATTCCTAAAAAATGTATAGAACACAGAATTTCTTCATGATCATCAAAGTCATCATGACAGTCATATTCATCATGATCTTCACAATAATTTTATCATGATCAGCAATAACATAATATGTATCATTACTATTCTTGTCTAACCTGAGTATATTGTCGACTAGTATCCTCGAATCTAACAACCCGTTGTGTTGGCGGCAGCTGAGGACCCCCCTGGTTACCCCTGTCATACCCCCCGTAGTATCCTTGTTGTCCTTGGATATCTATTGTCATGGGTCTGGGTGATCTATCTACCTCGGAAGGATGATATCCTCCAGGAACAGGACCTACAAATATCAGAAATAAAGGGACTGTAAGCGTAATTTCAAGTCACCCCTCATGTAAAGAGGGCACTTCCCAATTCCCAATGGTACCCTTTAAAACTTTTGTCTAGGTCCTTTACTTGTGTTCCTTGAAATTAATGAAAATTTTACATACTTTTTAAAAAGTTCAAAATTAAATAATTATTTTCTGCCATGTCTAGAAAGTGAATATTAGTATTTTTTTCAAAATAAGACAGCTTGCTAAGTATTTAACAGTTTAAAAGAAAGAAAATCTCATATTAGATGAATTTTTTTATTTTTGAAAAAAAGAATATTTTTAAAGAGGGGAAAAAGGAAGAAGTTTTAAAGAAAATATACATCACTGGTGATTGGTGAAGGAATAAAAATGATTTTTTTTTTAAAGAAAATATAAAACAAATAACTCACCATAACCATTTGAATCAGGGAGGTTAAAACTAACAGATAGAGCTCGAGGTTCTCCATAAATACGACCTCCATCCTCCATGATATGCTCACCCTCCTGCATAACCTTCTGACGCTGACGCTCTGTTGTGTTATGAGGCTGACGCACTCTCTTCTTGTGACGCGTACCTTCAGTCCTAGAAATGCGCAATTTATTTTTCACGAACATATTAACATGTGAAGAGAAGTGGATGCTAACTAAACTAAACTAAATGAAGATAATTCTCTAGTTTTTCAGGTTTAGGGTTTCCTCTCGTTAAATACGTTTAATACACTCAGCACTTTGATAAGAAGATAATTAGGAAGAGGGGCGGGGGGNTGAAGATGGTGTCTACATTATATTTTAGTTGAGCGCAATAAACACCATTGCATAAGAATAATAATAATAGTTTTATAAAATATTCTTTTTAGGGGAGATCAATGTCAAACAGCGACTAATTTATTTTTTTAAGAAGATTATGCTCGACTATTCTAGTTTCGCAGACAGGTTTTTAAACTAACTTCTATCAGATTATTCTGAATAGATGAATCATTGGTTGACCCAAGAAACTCATTTTATAATTATCTAGGGGATCATTTTATTCTTTATTCCTTGCTCCATTCTTAACTCAAACCCTCTCAACAATTCCTCATTGGACTTACTCATTTTTACCTCCATCCTATCTTATTCCTATCTCCATTTTATCTTATCCTACCACCATTCCATTTATTTCTTACCTCCCCTCTATCTTATTCCTACCTCCATTCTATTTTTTTTTCCTGCCTCTATGCCATTTACTTCTTACCTCAATTACATGTTACTACTCCTTCATTCTATCATATTAGGCTTTTCGCGCCTATCTTCTATTTCAATTGTAAAAATTTGCTCTTTGTATATTTTGCCAAACAAAACAAAAAAAAGTTAGCGGATTTTGTAACAAATTTTTGTGTGGATTTTTTTATTTAATGAAAATCGAATATTTTATTGGAGGCACATTTTTGAAATTTTAATCATTCATAAACCTTTCTTGGGGTCATGTGAGGTCCTACACGTAATTACCTTCATTCTATCATATTCACACCTCCATTCTTTCTTATTCCTACCTTCATTCTATTTTATTCATACCATCATTATATCGTATTCCTACATTCTTTCAAGCTTATTCCTGCCATAATTCTATCCTGTTCCTGCCTTCATTCTATCCTGTTCCTGCCTTCATTCTATCTTGTTCCTGTCTTCATTCTATCTTGTTCCTACCTTCATTCTATCTTGTTCCTGTCTTCATTCTATCTTGTTCCTACCTTCATTCTATCTTGTTCCTGTCTTCATTCTATCTTGTTCCTGCCTTCATTCTATCTTGTTCCTACCTTGTCTTCATTCTATCTTGTTGCCTTAATTCTATCTTGTTCCTGTCTTCATTCTATCTTGTTCCTGCCTTCATTCTATCTCGTTCCTGCCTTCATTCTATCCTGTTCCTGCCTTCATTCTATCTTGTTCCTACCTTCATTCTATCCTGTTCCTACCTTCATTCTATCTTGTTCCTGCCTTCATTCTATTCAGTTCCTGCCTTCATTCTGTCCTGTTCCTGACTTCATTCTATTTTGTTCCTGCCTTCATTCTATCCTGTTCCTGCCTTCATTCTATCTTGTTCCTACCTTTATTCTATCTTATACCTTCATTCTATCTTATTCCTGCCTTCATTATATCTTGTTCCTACCTTCATTCTATCTTATTCCTACCTTTATTCTATCTTATTCCTGCCCTCATTATATCTTGTTCCTACCTTCATTCTATCTTATTCCTACCTTCATTCTATCTTGTTCCTGTCTTCATTCTATCTTGTTCCTGCCTTCATTCTATCTTGTTCCTACCTTTATTCTATCTTATTCCTACCTTCATTCTATCTTATTCCTGCCTTCATTATATCCTGTTCCTACCTTCATTCTATCTTATTCCTACCTTCATTCTATCTTGTTCCTGCCTTCATTCTATCTTATTCCAATCTTCACTATATCGTATTCATACATTCTTTCTAGCTTATTCCTGCCATCATTCTATCTTGTTCCTGCCTTCATTCAATCTTATTCCCGTGTTTATTCTATCTTATTCCTACCTTAATTTTATCTTTTTCCTACCTCCAATCTATCTCATTCCTGCATTCAATCCATCACTTATCTACCTTTCCTACCCTTGTCTACCTCTCTACTCTTCTCCTTAAGCTTTCTCCGCTTTCTTTTCAAAATTAAACCTTGATTTAAACTTATTATCTATATAATAAAACAAGACATTAATATATATGTTGCGTATAACCGGCCAAACGGCTGGACTGATTGGGCTGAAAATTTTTGAGGACACTCATGGGTGGCCGGGGGATGTTATGGCTAAAAAATTCAAATTTTATTTCTTAAATTATTTAAAATTTTATTTTATTTCTACGAGTTGTATATTAAAACATCAACAATAATTTGTTAAGCAATACGCATGCAAACATGTTAAAGTTTGATTCACAACGGTAACTGTAAAAGCCTTGTCTGATCAAGCGTGAATTAGATTTTAATGCAGAAAAGCATTTCAACGGGGATTGTTAAAATTATAACTTTTAAACCTAGGCAAAATCTTCCACATCTTCCACTGAGAATGTAGTAATGTGGATATTTTTTTTAGGATTCATTTGAGACATATATAACGTTTTAGCGATGTATAATTACTGAGTTAGAGCGCAAAGTCGACGTTCAAAATCATCCATTTGGGTGGTTACGTTATGAGAATTTTTACTAAATTTTTCGTCGTCGTTATTGAATAATTTTTTTTAACCGATTCTCAAAATCATCCCTCAAAAATCAAAAATCTATGAGTATTTTAAATATTGAATTTGCGCACTTACTGAACAAATAAGCACAGTAACAACGTTTCCACAATTCTACATTCTCAGTTCAACTACCATACATTGCCGGTCACTCCCTTTAAACCAAAGTATACTAGAAAAACTAAATTTAACTTTGAAAACTGAAAAAAGTTTTAAGTCAAAATAATAAAATAGTTTTGTAAAAGATGAAATGAAAAAGATCGTGAAGGACCCCCAATGTGAGATCTTCAGATAAATGTCTAAAAAGTCCGACTTGGATTACTTAAAAAAATATTTTTTTTTTGTAGGGAGGGTTGAGTTTATCCAGTGGAGGTGGTTTATCACAGCTCAGATACTGTTCAAGCATAGATTTAGGCATACTATCACGTGATACAACCTAAAATAGGAATTCATTACTCACCTCATACTTTAATTTACTCTGCAACTGATGCTCGTAGATGGATAATTAAATAAAAACCCTAATTTAAAAAAAATTGGATGTTACTGAATGATAAATGAGGAGGTTGTGGATCAAGCATTGATTTTCTTTCAATGCGAATCTATGGATTAGTTTACTTCCTCTTTAATATCCCGTGATGGTAAAAAATAAAAAAATGCCCAAATTGAATATTGAGATCAAAGGTTCTAGATTAACAGTATCCGCACTAATCTTCCGATCTTTGATTATAAAATTGTTCCGGGAATCCATGAGTTAATAAAACAATATAAAAAGAAATGATGGATGGACTAAGGCTATTAAATTGACAATAAATTAATGAATAAAAAATCTAAATGAAAAAAAAATGATTAACTTGATAAAAATGATTTAGTAGATAAAAAAAACATTAAAAAGATAACAATTATTTTTAGTAAAATTTTTTAAAGACAAAAACAAATAAGTGAAAAAATAAAAAAATAATTAACTATTAAAATAAAATAACCGGATAATTACCTGCTGATCAAAGGATTGAATTGAACGAAAAGCTTTTCTTAATTGTATTTCTTGAAGAGTAACTTCCTCGACATTAGAGTCTAACTGTGTAACCTAAACAACAACAAGATTAGATTAAGGTAATAGGAACTAGGTATTAGGATCTACAGCATTAAGGTAATAGGAACTAGGTATTAGGATCTACAGCATTACCCACAAAGGATGAGAATATAAAGACGACTTGAAACTTAAAGATAAGAAATCTGCAAGGTTGAATTAAGCCTTTTAATGACTTAACTAATAATTTGGAAAAGAAAGAAACAAGTTTATAGTTGCATGAAATATAAATTCCGTGCTGTCGTCTCTGAAGTCTCGTCCATTGTGGGTAATCTGTAGGTAATAGGAAATAAATAGGCGATTATGAAAACGACTTTAGATTTCCATTAGATTTATATCAAGGTGTTTAACATCATGGATATTGGAAACACATAAATATTTAAGTCAAAAAGCTGCCGATTAAAAAAGCCTATATTTTTGATTACTTGTAAAGTTGTATGACCTAAGGTATAGGATAAAGATCTTCAAGGCCCCACAGAAAACAATCATGGTCTTTCTATACCGCTGACTTTATCAACCATTTAACATTCAAATTAAACAGGAGGTCATAATGAACAGAAGTATTTCTTATGTTACAGGTCAATCAGATAAAAAATCTTTATAGAAATGTATGAGCTGGGAAAGGAGTCAAATCTTTTCTTTAAACAAAAGTAATCCAAATCCAATTTGAAGGACATATCCATGAATGAAATAAATATTTTACCTTCACTGCAATCTTATCTATCCTGGCCTGAAGGTTGGACCCCCTCACCGCCAACATCTCCGCCTCGGTGAACAAGTTGCCGAACATCTCCTCGGCATGGCGCGACAAGGTGCTCAACTGTCGCGTTATATTTGCCAGGCTACCGTTAGTCACACCTTCAAGCTCGTCTGGTACAGGGAGCTGAAGAGTGCCCCGGCATACAGCAACCGGTACAATTACTCGCTCCGGCAACGGCATTTTTAATCCGGGAACCGATCACGCAGCCCTAGAACTCACATGGTTTTAAATCCGGGAGATTTTCTACATTTTTTCTGTTTTCACGGAGCTCGGGGAAAGATGCTTCGGTTGATTCCTGGTAATTATCACTGTTTAATTTCAGGTTTTCAGTTCTTTATCTTCTCTTTCTTATCTCTTCCACAGAATAAGGTTAATTATCACTTTCTTAATATTAACTTATAAATCAAACAAACTGGAAGAGTCCGGATTGATATGATTTAAACTCGACATTTTAAACCTGAAAAAAATATATCTTTAAAAATTACAAAAAAAGTACAAAGTTTGACCAAATAAAAGTATTCGGTCAGTGACATAAACACCAGAAATTTTCTCGTAAAATTTGTCCGTCGAAACCTTATTCTAGGTAACCATGATTTTAATTTTCGACTAAAAGCACTCGACACAAAAATGTAAAAAAATCAAATAAGAACTTTTAATTTCTTATTGAACAGCATGAAATGAGGCAGTAAAAAACTGGTAAATGAAAATGGGAAAATAAATGCAAAATATGCTCCATTATAAGTTTCATAAAAATTGGACAAAAAAGGGCAGGACGGAAATGAGATATCTTACACTTAAAGTTTAAGCGTTAACAAGATTTAAGGTCGATGAAAGTACAATAACATAAAACTACTATTCTTGTACTATTAGGACCATGGAAGACTGAAGTATTATTCTAGCACTATTAGGTCCATGTAAGTACTATTCCTGTACTATTAGGTCCATGACAGTAAACTTTGCCAGGGTGTGTACTCAACAAAATCATCCTTTTCTCTGATCTCGAACAAGCAGCGGAATCTGAAAAAATCAGTGATTAGGATCCATTTAAGTTTGATGCGGATTCGGATCCTGAATCCGCACTGGAAAAAAATGGATCCGGATCCGGATCCAGGTCATTTCTTTAAGATTTAGGCAAATTTTTTAACAAAAAATAATTTTCAAATCTTTTTTTTTTATCCTAAAACTTTTTTTTTGCAGTTTTTGGTTGAAATTTTCCCCCTTGATCCGGATCCGTGGATCCGCATATATTTGCGGATCCGGATATGCGGATCGGATCCAGGAGGCCAAAATCTTACGGATTGTAAGCACTGGAAAAAGTAGCGTGTTTTTTATAATAAGAAAAATAACCGCAAGGTTTAAATGTATCAAGTAATATGCTAAACAAAGGGACTTCAATATGTTTGTACTGTAATATTGTTTTCAAAATTAACACTCAAAATTTACTTCAAATTACAAAATTTTTATAAAAGCGAAGTTAAAATTTCCCATTAGGTGTGTATATTTCATTCCTCTATTTAGAAAAAAGGAAATGAATTTTTAGGTATAAGTATGAAAAAAGGAAAACCTTGCCCGTTAAAATCAAGTTTTTATTCTCTCTTCTTAAACTGTCTAAAACTGTTAACACGTGTGGGAGGAGAGGGAGGGGGCGGGGCATATTTTCTTTTCATATAGTTTTTCTTCTGAAGTAGCATACCTCCATTTATCGCAGCCCTGGAGAGCCTGTAGTCTATCTAACTTCAAACTGACGAAAGTACCAGCAGGATCTAAACATTAATAAACAATTTTATTGCGCTGGTAGAACTGGAATAATAGTGCACAAGACTGTTTCTCCATAAGAAAAGAAAAAAAATCTGATCTTGGGTACAAAATGAAAAGTGTAGTTCAATTTGTTGATTATACAGTAAACACCGTCTCTTCTTTAACTTATTAAACTGTCACAATAGAGAAATGGTTCAACTAAGTCTACGTAGTTCAACTACATCTCACTATTCATTAACTTTCGCCCCTGAAATGGAATCCCCGGATTACCATAGAACGAAAGGGACACGTTTCCCCCTTTCGTTTCAATTTTACAGAACTGTTAAAAAAGACCCCCACCCGGCCTTCTCTGGGTGCCAATTACTTACTGGTAGTTATTTTGGGGCGGGGGAGGGGGAAGAATAATTAATTCCATTGACAACAACCCGCACATCTTCCATGTACACAAAGGTACTTCAGCCCCTTTAACACCCTTGTGGCCGTGTCAAGTAAAACAAAACAAAATATAATACCTAGCGGGATATTTCCAGTTAAAACCATGTTGCTGGACTTGTGAACAAATCTTCCTTTTCCGTCTAGACGCCATTTTTGCCGGCTAAACATATCATTATTAATTCAGGAAAGTCAAGAAGTGATACTTGCCTCAAACTCTTATAAGATATATTAGCAATCTAGTGGTCTAAATCTTTAATAATTCAAACTTTTGATATTTGATAAAATCAAAATATCTAATACGACATCTGGTTGCAAAAACGCAAGGATAAAAAAATAACAAAAGGAAAGTATTGAGGTCTCTTTTACTTAGATTACAATAAAATTAAGCTTATTAGATTTACTTCTTAGTATTGCTCATTTCTTAAAATAATATGGTATTTTAGAACCTTGCAACGAAATTATATTTTCCTTATTTCAACTCTATTTCCTTATTTTTGAAATACTTGACAATGTTTGAAATACAGTTTTAACACATGACAATTGACCTCCTACCTGTCATTATATGGATTGACCTCCTCCTACCTGTCATTTTATGAAGTAACCTCCTCCTTCCTGTCAGTTTATGGATTAACCTCCTCCTACCTGTCAGTTTGAGGATTGACCTCCTCCTACCTGTCAGTTAATGGATTGAACTTTTTCTCTTCCTTTCAGTTAATGAATTAACCTCCTACCTGTCATTATATGGATTGACCTCCTCCTACCTGTCATTTTATGAAGTAACCACCTCCTTCCTGTCAGTTTATGGATTAACCTCCTCCCACCTGTCAATTTGAGGATTGACCTCCTCCTACCTGTCAGTTAATGGATTGAACTCCTTCTCTACCTTTCAGTTTATGAATTAACCTCCTCCTACCTGTCAGTTTATGGATCCTTGTCCTACCTGTTTTAAGGATTGACCTCCTCCTACCTGTCAGTTTATAAAATTGACCTCCCCCAGCCTGCCAATTTATGGATTGACCTCCTCCTGCATGCCAGTTTATGGATTAACCTCCTCCTACCTGTCAGTTGACCTCCTCCTACCTGCCAGTTTATGGATTGACCTCCTTCTACCTGTCAGTTTATGGATTGACCTCCTTCTACCTGTCAGTTTGTGGATTGGCCTCCTGCTACCTGTCAGTTTGTGGATTGACCTTCTTCTACCTGTTAGTTTGTGGATTGACCTCCTCCTACCTGTCAGTATATTGATTGACCTCCTCCTACCTGTCAGTATATTGATTGACCTCCTCCTGCCTGTCAGTATATTGATTGACCTCATCCTACCTGTCTGTCTGTGGATTGACCTCGTCTAGGATCAAGGAGCCACCGTCCAAGGTCAAGACCAATCCTGTGATATTTGGATTGAAGTTTAAACTTTTTAAATGAAAGATTTATATTCAGAAGGCATTTTTATCTTAGAGCATTGCCATGTTATTCGAAAAAAACAGATTTATATTTTTTAGGACCATCACAACAATAACCAGAACCATATTCAATCGTTCATTAATTCAGACAAAACAAACAAACAAAATGAGCACTTAATATACAACACCGCTTTTAATCGTAAAAACTCTCGTTTGTAAATTCTTGAATTTTCTGAATAAATCTCAACCTGAAGCTTTCTGTTCTAAGCAGTTATCCCAGGTTCTACTCCACTGCTGCTCTGCAGATCCATTCCACTCGGTCAAATACACCTGACCACCTCTAAACAGTCGGTCAAATATACCTGACCATGTCTAAACAGTCGGTCATATACACCTGACCACCTCTTAACAGTGGGTCATATACACCTGACCACCTCTTGACAGTCGGTGATATACACCGGACCACCTCTAAACAGCCGATCATCACCTGACCACCTCTAAACAGCCGATCATATATACCTGACCACCTCTAAACAGCCGATCATATAAACCTGACCAAAAATTTGTACATATCTTGTAAAGATCTGTACGTAGCTTCCAAACTCTGTACATAGTTTCGATAAGTGTGAACTTGGATCGGTTTAAACAAAACTGTAGAATAAAATAGCTCCAAAAAACTGGCCCAGGCTTAAAAATATCTATACTTTGCGCTGTATGTACCGAGCTTTTAATATCTAAATCAAGCATCAAAAGTGGGAACTCAGCCTCCAAAAAATGTGTACCCATTCTTCAAAACAGTGTGTACCTGGCCAGCAAAAAAGTGTGTGTCTGGCTTCCAAAAAAGTGTGTCCTGGCCAGCAACACAGTGTGTTCCTGGCCTCCCAAAAAAGTGTGTACCAGGTCTCCGAAAAAGTGTGAACCTGGCCTCCAAAAAGTGTGTACCAGTACCTGGCATCTAAAAAGTGTGTAACTGGTCCTGGCCTCCAAAAAAGTGTGTATCTGGTCTCAAAAAAAGTGTGTACCTGGCCTCTGAAAAAGTGTGTATATGGCCTCAAAAAAAGTGTGTATCTGGTCTCAAAAAAAGTGTGTATCTGGCCTCTGAAAAAGTGTGTATCTGGCCTCAAAAAAAAGTGTGCACCTGGTCCTGGTCTCCAAAAAGTATGTACCTGGCCTCCAAAAACTGTCTACCTGGCCTCTAAAAAAGCGTATCTGGTCTTAAAAAAGTGTGGACCTGGCTTCCGAAAAAGTGTGTATCTGGTCTCTAAAAGTGTTTACCTAGCCTCCGAAAAAGTGTGTTTCTGGTCTTAAAAAAGTGTGGACCTGGCTTCCGAAAAAGTGTGGATCTGGTCTAAAAAAATTGTGTATCTGGTCTAAAAAAATTGTGTACCTAGCCTCCAAAAAAGTGTGTATCTGGTCTTACAAAAAGTGTGTACCTAGCCTCCGAAAAAGTGTGTATCTGGTCTCAAAAAAAAGTGTGTACCTGGCCTCCGAAAAAGTGTGTTTATCTGGTCTCAAAAAAAGTGTGTACCTGGCCTCTAAAAATTTATTCTGGTCCAGGTTTACCAGAGAGCTGTAAACAATACCTGAACATTTTATATTATTGATTATAAAATCTATTTTTATTATTATTCACAAATCTAGACAAAAGTTAGATATTTCAAATAAACTAAGTCACTTGAGGGACAGAATATAAAAACTAAATAAAAATTCAACTAAGAAAAAATAAAAAAATATCTTAAAAATAAAATCTGACCCAATTGTTCAATCATATCTTCTAGAACTTTATTATCCTGGAGATCAAGCCGGTCACTTGTGCCGGCATCATTCTTTAATCTGCCCTGGGGGGAACCAGGTTCAATATACCAGACAATAAACTTTAGAATTGTGGAAATGGAGATCAATGCTTAATCTTCTTTTTTTGTTAATCTCAAGATAAATATAATTTTAAGTTTGTAAAGAAAAAGAGTATATAATTCGACCAATCGAGTGGCGTTTGGAGAAACCGGAAGAGCTAAGCAGAGAAGCCGGGAAATTTGAAATTTTGCGCGCCATTTAATGAGTGGACTCTCATTGGTCAAACAAAGTAAGGATATCCAACAAGAGAGGATTAAGTAAAAAATTAAAAGTGTCCATATTGAATATTCAGATTAAGGGATCGGGATTAAAGGTTTCCAATTTTAAGTTTTCAGTTCAGGTTTAATATACCAGAGTTTTATAAAAAAAATAGGTTTCTTAAAATAGAGTCAATAATGTCATATCAATTCAAAACCAATTAGACCTGTGCAAAGATCTTTCTGAAGACTCTTTTCTGTAAAATGACTTAATAATACCTCATTTTTCGTCTTTACTAATCGCACTTTCTCACATTGATCAAATACCTCATTTACACATTGAAAAAAAGTGGGTCGAAAATTTTGAAAGGGTGAAAGATTTAGATGAATAACTGAATCATTTTATGTTTTAGAACCAGCCTTTGTATATGGCTCTAAATACTCCCAACCTCTCACCACACCAAGAATTCTGATGAGAAAAAAATGAGTAAAATCAACAGAAAAAAAACGAAGTAAAATTAACAGAAAAAAAAGTGATGAGTAAAATTAACAGAAAAAAATAAGAACAATCAACAAAAATTAAAAAAAATGTTAAGTAGAATTAACAGAAACAAAGAAAAGAAAATATAAACAAATAATTACAATACTTTGTTATGCAAGCCAAGACAACAGATTTAAACTTATTTCTATCCAAGTAGTCGATTTTTTTTTCTGCATTTTACTTAATATCTGGCAAAACCCGATCCGGATCAAGCTCCCTGAATGTCTTCCAAATTCCAAAAATGTGTTCTTTCGTTCAGGTTTTCTTTATGCAAATCTTTATTTACCCTTCAATGATTAAAAAGGTTTTAATGATGTCACATTAGATTGACACTAAAAATGTGCGTCGCATATTTTTTTTCATTGTCTTTCTTGAAATTTTCCCACTTTGATCCGGATCCGAAGATCCGCACATTTTGCCCGGATCTTAAGCACTGCCAAAAACCGGGTCCTAACCTCACTTGGGCGGCAGACTTTACACAGGTCTCCTCCAGTCCTGCAGGGGTTACAGAATTATGAGGGGGTATCCAGGCAGCGCTATAATATTCAAAATAATTTAAAGTCTTCTCCAAGAATATGGCGACTGTTCTTTCAATTTCATATGACACTCCGTTTCTACTGGCATGTATGACATTTAGACATTTGTATGATCATCAATGACTGACGAAGAATTCCTTGTATTTAGACGGAAAATTGAGTGACGTGAAACTCTTATTTACACTGGCAAGGAGTGTACTCAGTAACCTCCAATTTCCAGTCTGTAAAACAGGAATTTTTTGGGTCATCGATGATCAGATAAAGGTTATAAAGGTACTGTTGTCTGTTTAATCGGAAATGCTAATGTACACATGGATCTACCCCCCCCCCCCTTGAAATATTGCAATCTCTTAATTTATTTTTAAATGATTTGTAAACATTTAATAAAACTTTTTTACCTAAATTCTTTGTGCCAGCTAGTTTTCAGAGGGTCATCACTTCTTTGAATTGTTTTGGTTTTTCCTAAATGCAAATATTATTTGCCAAGTCTTCAATGACAACAAATTCTATGGAAAACCTTGGACCTCGGATCATTCCTCATTTCCCAAATCTTAGCAAATAATTTTGCCCTTGAAAACTGGCCTAATTTTTAGTATAATTATCTTAATAAACCAATCTTTGCATAGAAACTAAAACTTCCCTATAAAGTTGACATATTCACATTCACGAGATTCTAACGAGTTCCAAAATCAAGATTTGTGGCAAATCAGTCCAGGGGTTCATGAGTGTTGAACGGACATACAAACAATTACTTGTTAATATATAGATAACGTTTAATATTGTCGCTGATGTTGCGGATTTTTCAAGTCTGTTTCTAATACCTGGATAAACTAGTAGTTTGAATGTTACAGGACCGTAGGGAGCTGACTTATTCAGGTCTCGGGACACATACAGTCCGTTCCCAAGCACTAAAATATAATACAGGTTTAAAAAGTTTAAAACTCTTTATTTCGATTAATTGAAATATTTTTATGTCTATAATTTCGGCGTCAGTTTTTCCTTGGCATGTCGAGTCGGATCCAATAATAGCATTAACAGCATTTTTAGTGCACTAGGGTGCACGAGACAATTTCGCAGATTTCCCTGCTTAAATTCGCAATTTTTCAAATTATAAAAATGTGAAAATTTTGTAATCTAATTTGATCATCCTTAAGATTCCGGCCCGGGTCAATCGTTTAATAGATCCCAACAAACCGACAAGTCAAAAATATATAATTGAAAAATTTCTAAAAACTCACCTTTATCAGATCCCGATAGATTGAATCCTTCATCTAGAATCCTAGCAACATTTTCTACCTCCCTTCGTGGATTTTTCAATCAATATTTTGGATTTTGAACAATTAATATTCTTTAATCTTAGCTCAGAATAATAAGGATTAATAAACATAAAAGAACTACTAACCGTCGGTTCAAATCTTGAATCACCGATTCAAATCCTCATGAATCTTTATATTTTGTATTGGTGATCAAAATTCGAACTGGCTGTAGGTAGTTCCATTGATGAGGCATTTCATTCGGAGGACACTTTTACAGGATTATTTTTGAGCTTCATGCAATCCTTTACAAAATAGCGGAAAATATTTTTTAAGAACACTTACACCAAAACATTACAAGATTTGAAGAATTTTACCAACGATTGGTATAATATTGCATAGATTGGTTCGATATTAAATTAATTGATCCAATTGATTGACTTATGAATCTTGAATTGATTGATAAATTTATTTTTGAATTGATAGATTGATTGATTAATAAATTAAATATTGAATTGATTAATTGATTGACTGATTGCCTCGTGGAATGGTACATAACAAACAGCTGTTGCCTAAAACAAAAAAAAACTTAATTCGGTTTCATGGAAAAGATGATATTCAAAAGTAAAAAAAAGAATGCGAGATGGTTTATACTTTTTTTTTCTCTAGGAGCATATAATGTCAACATAGCGATTAGTGCAGCATAAGGCAATTTGCTTATAGCCCGACAACATTCAATCCTGTGTCTAAATTAAACAATGGAAAAACAAAATGAAAGTAGTTATGAATTTATTTTTCCATTTTTCATGCTTATTTTGTGTTGATAGATTTATTAGTAAAATTTTCTGTTTCTATATTTTTGAAATTTCACCCCCTCCCCTTCCCCCATCTGTAAACGAAAGAACAAAAAACCTACCTGAATCCACTTCTAGTTGTCTGAACCCAAACAGGATCCTTTGCAAATATAGTGCAAACATCTGACATTCTACTGAAATATTAAAATTTAGTTAATCAGGCTTGGCAGGAATCTATAAATTGACAAATGACGCGAAGAACAATATAAAGATAGGACACATGATGTGTAGGACAATATATAGATAGGACACATGATGTGAAGAACAATATATAGATAGGACACATGATGTGTAGGACAATATATAGATAGGACACATGATGTGAAGAACAATATATAGATAGGACACATGATGTGAAGAACAATATATAGATAGGCAACATGATGTGCAGGACAAATTTAATGTTGTGCAACTACTGTAGGCCAGATTACTGTGCCAAATTTAATGTAGGACAAATCATAAATGATGTGTAGGACATCAAAAATGTTGGAACAAATTTTACGTTGGTTAGGACAATTATTAATCTAAATATAAATTAAGCTTGTCTGTTTGTGTCCAATAAACGTCAAAACGGCTAAACCGATCAGGCCCTTTTGTGAGGGACCTCACGTGACCCCAGGGAAGGTTTATGAACGATCGAAATTTTAAAAAAAAATGTGTTTAAAAGTTTCATACGTTTCCAATTCCTCTCATAAACCTTGTTTACTTTGAAAATATGTTAAATACAATTCTTGACCAATAAACTTCTGCAAAATCGATTTTGGTCCTTAGTATTCTGATAAGCAGAAAATGCGCAAAATAATCTATGTAAAATTCAAACTAACCGTCGTACTTTAAGAAATAAATAAAAGTATACAATCTTAACACTGTAACCTGAGTGGATAAACTGATATGCAAGCAAAATATTTAAACTTGCATATTCTAAGTTTTTTTTTAAAGAAACAGAGGGGGGGGGGGGGACAAAAATAGTGAAATACATTGGGAATTGTTACAAATTTACACTACAAGGCAAGACTTTTTCAACGTAAATTTCCGGTAATGTTACATCGTCTATACGCAACATCCCCCCTACTGAACTTCTGACCTACTAACTTTCCGACCTACTGCAATATCGGACCTACACCAGCTGTTTCTTTTAGTATTATTTGAGGGTTAGGTTAGGTTAAGACAATTTCTGGGCCGAGCACGGCGGCTAGGACAGGCTAGGGGGCCGAGCGCTGCGGCTAGGACAGGCTAGGGGCCCGGGCGCTGCGGCCACAAGTCCATATAACAGCTGTAATACCACGTGCTAGTAGGTCGGATGTGGCGTAGGTCAGAAGTGGAGTATGGCGGATATGTGTAGGTCGAAAAATACCAAATTTCCCAGATATTCTGTCGTAGCCCAGAATTTTACATAATACACAGCATAAGACGAATTAAACCATTACGGCCTGGCAATACGCTCTGATATTTTTAATAGTCATCAAACATTTAGTTCCCCAGGAACATATTTAAAGGGACTGTAAGCGTAATTATAAGTGACCCTTTGTGCAAAGACAGCAATGCTCGATTTACAAAGGTTCTCTTATAACCTCAATCTGATGTTTTTCTAACTCGAAAAGTACTTATTTCCGTGAATGTTTCCATTTTTTCTTTTAAGCAAGAAATGCACATTGCGCAAGTCGCTTTTGCAAATAAACCGCAAATGAAAAACAGTTTGAATACACAAAACCATGCACACAAAGAAGGTAACGTTGTAAAACGGGCTTTGCCATCTTTGCATGGAGCTTCACTTAAAATTACGCACACAGTCCCTTTAAGCGATAGAAATGGTGTATTTCTGTTCCAATTCCAAAAAAGTGTATCATGGATATTTCCAATTTAGTAAACCATCCTAGAAAGCGCAGTACAGTTTAATGTTTGTTTACATTAGGTGCACTGAGTAACAAGACCTGAGTATTCTGTAGATAAAATAAACTAAACGATATGTTTATATCCTCACAACTATATGTCTACACTCTACATAAACAGAGGAGAAAAGGAAAGGAGGAAATGGGAATATGGGGAAAAGCAAGGGGAAATAAGAGATGGGGGGGAATTTAGTTGCTAAAACTAAAAGGATTGTAAACGCATTTTTAATGACCCTACATATAAAAAAAGTTTCATGACCGATTTACCTTTCCGTCTAAAAATTGATTATTAATAACTTACTGATAAATGAAGAAGAGAAAAGGAGTAACATCAACAGAATTTTTGCCTTTTTCAGACAAAAAAAACGAAGATATCTTCCTCATTTTTAATCCGAAAAAAAGACTAAAGAACCTCTAAGTTTCAAGGAATAAATGTTATTGTAAGCATAACTAAATCTCAACTGAAGTGTGTTTGTTCAGCTTTAAATGAATTAAATGATTCTATTACAAGCCGACAGGGGTATTTACTATATACTAAACATACATATATATATATATGTTTACATATATATTACTGTATGCGTCATATTCATAAATTATCAATTAATTCTATAAAATGAGGAAACTAGTTAAAGGTTTGGCACATGCTACAAAAAATTGGTTAAAAAAACCCTTAACCAATCTTCCAATTTTTTAATATGATATGAAACCTGTACACGTATTTTATGAGTTCACATGAGCTGACTAAGTACTCAGAGGGGGGGGGGGGGAAGCTATGTAGACTCAGTCCCCCTCCTTCCAAGATCAGTGAAATCTATGATTTCCAAGGAATTTTTGGGCCTCAATGAGTGCAGAGCCCATCCCCCCACCCCTGGATAGAAAAAATATTTAAGCCCCTACCCCCTCTTGACAAATTCCTAAGTACGCCCATGTCAGTCTTTTTAATCCTGATCATTAAAAAGTATCATTTATCCTTTTAAACCCCGCCCCCCAAACGAAAGAAAAATGTTAGGTAACAACGTAACATGTTGAAGTTGACTGTAAGCGTAATTTCAAGTATCTCTCTATGCAAACATGGCATTGCCCGATTAACAACAGTACTCTTAAAAGTATGAATATGATATCAATTTTTAATATTTCAAAAACTAAATATTTTTGATTGTGGTTTCTCAAAAAATATGACTTGCGCATTTCAACTGCAGGAAAAACATAGGAATTATGAGAACCACAAAAGCTTATTAAACTAGGAAAACGACAATATCTTACCCGTTTTAGATTAGATAAAGTTTTCAATGGTACCTGAATTTATATCTGACAAGAAATAACAATTACAGTCCCTTTAAGCTTATAACATTGTATAAAATTAAATGGAAAAATACTTTTTTACTTTTCCACTCTGAAGTTAAAAAAGCACATTTCTACACCCCTAAACCTGTAATAACGAATAGAGGTTGAACCCCTTATATATTTTAATTACCAAACACACTTTACTCTATCAGGTTAGAACAGGGGGTCCTCAAATTGATGCAGATTGAAAATATTCTTTTAATTGGGAATACATTTGTTACATTTAATGCTGTGCTTAGGATCCATTTATTTTTGATGCGGATCCGGATCCTAAGCACTGATTTAATGGGACTGTTATAATCTAAAATGGCCATAAATCCAAAAAAGGGCCATGCCTGATTCACAACGGCACCATTTAAACCCATGTCTGATCAAATATATAATTTTGTGATTTTTCTAGCTCAAAACTGCTTAGTTCTAGCAATTTCTCTAGGTGGGGGGGGGGGTGCATTGTACGCAGGACCCCCTGTCTGGACTCCTGATATAAAATACTAACACAAACCTACAGTTTACGATCACAAACAGGATAAGATTGAATGTAGGAAGAAAACAGATGTTAAGTATTAATCTGTGGGAATTTAATTAGCTTAAGGCGAGAATACAGAATTTAGACTGTTTAGTGAAAATAATCAGATTAAAGAAAGTATGAGAAGGCGCAGCGATATTGAAGGGGGGAGCGTTTTTTTTTGTTGAAGAACGACGCACTCCAAACTTAATGTACTTAAAAACAATTGCGTAAACGGTCATTTACCAGTTATTATTCTTTTAGAATCAATTTTTGCAAACCGATATCCACCACTGTGACTATTAAAATTTGAGAACTAAAAGCATCCGATATCCACCACTGTGACTGTTAAATTTGAGAGCTAAAAACATCTGATATCCACCACTGTGACTATTAAATTTGAGAGCTAACGGCATCCGATATCCACCACTGTGACTATTAAATTTGAGAGCTAAAGGCATCCCTGCTGGGCTCTGACCGGATATCAGAGAGAAATTAATTTAATCCTTCGAACGAGAAAAGATATGATTAGCTGTTATGGGGACCAGTTAACAACACAAATATTTTAACATTTTACGTCTTGGGTAAAAAGAATCTTTTACATGAAATTTATCACGGAAAAGGAAAAAAGCGGAACTTTAAATTGTTCAGACAATTGATCGTGCAACGAAATTCTGGTAAATTCCGAATTATTGGTCCTGGCCCCTGCTCCTCCCCATCACAAAATTTGTTAGTACATGTTATATGTATCACAATTGACATAGTTGGACACGTGGACACGCAGAATCCAACCCCCTAACCGCAGCGCTAGGCCTCCTAGACTACTAGCTACAAAATAAATAATAATTTCTTGTTGATACATTTTGAGACGAAAACCCTTACTGGCCGTTTTTTTGTCCAATCTTGAAGTTATCAAATAATTTTTCCACATACTTAATAAAAACACCGAGATAATAAAATTTTTGCCTTTAATTCCTAACACAATTTGCATTGTCCATTTCTTTGTTCGACTCCAATGATCTAGGTGCAGAGCTTGGAAAACCTAAACCTTCTTCTATGTAAATTTGGCTCAAGTGCATACATAGCCTTTGGACCGGTGGGTTTTTTGTACAGAAAAAAATACAATTTCGGTTCTTTGTAGCGCTTCCATTATTTTAAATTTGCTTTCTCAGACTTTCTTTGCCGTTCTTTTACGGGATTACAAGTGCATAGCTCCCGAAGTCGGGTTCCTTGGCCTTTGTCTCAGAAATATCTCGTTTGTCCAATCATGTGTCTTTCTAGGGTGATAGCGGTCCAGTTTTGTTACTTTCATCCAATAAGCCCGGTGTTTTAATCAAGTCTAGACTCCACTTTCATTTTAGGGATGGGAATGGGTCCTACAGTATAATATAAACGAAATAATACTAATAAAAATTACAATTGATCGGAAAAAAGCTAATGGAAAAACATAGTTACATTGAGATATGCTCCCCCGGCTTCAGACTAATTAAATTCAAAACCTGTAATTGGCAACAAATTAGTGATAACTACAAAACTAAGAAACGTAAAATTTAAAGAAAAAGTCGAAATAATTTCACAGCTCATAGCAAATCAAATTCAGTATCCATGGATCACTGCATGCCACAAAACAATGTTTGTTATTTTTTTCAGAAACTTCACAAATTCGCCATATTTGTCACCCGCAGTGCAGCTGATTCAAAGTGAGCTTTGATTGGTCGAGAAATCGGTCTCAATTCTAATTGGATAACAGAATTAGTCAAATGAAGATCCGTTATGTTCTTAAATATTTTATTTTGATTGAACGATTGAACTATCAAATTTGCTCATCTGCCGCGTTACATTCCATATTTTCCCTTCAACGCTCAACAGACGAAATACATGTGTTCGTCAAAACAACAACAATTATTTTAAATATTAGAAAAGTTGAGAATTAAGTTTCACTTTTGATTTATTTTATGCATTTTTTTTCGATAAAATCTAATGCTTAATCAAAACGTGACAAAATTACTGATAAAACCGGAAAAATGCAGAACATTTAATCACACTTAATTAATAAAGTTTCAGACGTGCATCAAAAAATGGAAATAAAAGCAAGACCCAGACTTGATTATCGTGGAAAACTTATTCTTGCTCCGATGGTTAAAGTAAGTTTGGATAGTGGGGGTTGCCCTGAGTATGCCTTTGGGCCTTTCCCATTCTTTCCATCTACTCTGGACACATTCTCTTGGTTATCCAATGTCAGAACGTTTGTTTTAGGTTTGGTTTAATGTGTTTACTGTTTTCATTTCTGTTTTATTTTAGATCGGCACACTCCCTACTCGTATACTAGCGCTTGAATACGGGGCGGATATAGTCTACACAGGAACATAAATAAAGCATCAAACTATTAATCAAATTATCCAGAATCCAGATTCACATCTATTTTCTTGAATTAATTAATTAATTAAGAAGAATATTTATACAGCTCATAACAGTGCTTGTGATTCGTTTCATTTTCATCCGGATCCTGGATCTGCCCTAAAAAAGGGTTCCGGATCCAGGTCATGAACATCTCTTTAAGACTTTGATTTTTTTTTACCAAAAAAAAGACTTGTCCTATGAAACTTCTTTGACTTTTACGGATCCGGATTCAGGAAGCCAAAAAATTGCGGATCCGGATCCAGGTAGCTAAAATGTCGCGGATCCGGATTCAGGAAGACAAAATGTTGCCAATCCGGATTTAAGTGACTCGTGGAACGATGTAGTAGTGGAAAGAAAGAAAATTTCGATGGACTATCTTTCTAAAAATTTACCATGAATCCGATTAAGGACTTGCAAATAACGATTTAAATTGAGAATAACTTGAAATAACCGTCCCTTTAGAATTAATCTTTTGTTGATGTAGAGGAGTTAATCGATTGGAGACTTTTAAATTCAAACAGGAACATTATTTTAACTTAGTTCTGGATGATTGGAACATTATTTTAACTTAGTTCTGGAGGATTTTATTGTTTTTTTAATTGTTCAATCATTTTGAGTTCAACTTAAACATACTTAATATTCAACATTTGTATTCTATTGTTTGTATATTTTTAATTTTTCTAATGATTTTTTCTAATAACGATTTTATTTTGATGATTTTTGGTTATTTATGCCCTATTTTATCCATCCAAGCAAACTATTATAAATTGAAATGATTGATTGATTTCTCGTGCTTGGTTGTTAATATAATCTGGTGTTGAGCAGGGTAGTGAATGATCTACTAGGAACAATAGATTACATTGATAAAACTGATAACAGTCTGGTTTTTAGGTAGGATTTATTTTATGGGTTTTGTTTTCTTGAAAAATAATTATTTCCCCACCACCTTCCTTTGAAAAATCGTCTCCCCCCAGTTGACAATGTTTTAATTAATATAATGATAATTTTATTGATAATTAAATTAGAGGAAATAGTTTCCTTTTTGTGTTAAGTATTAAAAAAGGGGGGGATGTAAAATCTTTTGTGTTGTTGCCAAATCATTACAAAAGGGGAACTCTCTTATTGAAGATCTCCCCCTCCCCTCCCTTAAATGTAATATTTTTGTATCCTAACCTATCCTTTACACATTCACTTTACAATGTAAACAAAAAAGAGAGATTTTTTATTAATTCTTTCTCGAGGCCGCATTTAATAATTAGTTCAAAGACTAAGCTGCCATTTAACATTGAACGTTAGAGTTAAGATTATGGGATTAGAACCCAAATCGCATAATATTTGCAGCCTCCGTAAATACTGCGCTAGAAAAAATATTTTTAAAGAAGATAATCACCCTGAAATTTTGTTTATTTACAACCATATGTTGTTTAGAACTTGTGAGCGTGAGCGAGGGCACCTGGTGTTACAAATTGGAACTTCCAACGGGGACCGAGCAGCGCAGGTTGCCAAGAAAATGGAACAAGGTTGACATTACATTATTATTTTTAGCTTTGCAATCCAGATCTGTCAAAAATAGAAGCCAGACAACCAAAAATTAGAAAAATCGTTTGAGCCAATTTTTTATAATCACCCAATCAATCACATTTATCGAAATGTCATTGAATTTGAGAAATTACGAATTTCGAAGAAAAAAACGGGCTTCTATTAGCATTGCTTGAATCGATAAAAATTAAGAAGCGAAACTAAAAACATTCCTTTATACATCATTTCTTTTTTCCCTAGTGATATTTAAAGAGTAGCAAATCTATTTTAACATCATAAAGTTACGCACAGATCATTTTAAAAGAAATACAGTTAAGGAATAATCTACTCTTTGATTATTAATTTTCAAAAAAGGATTTCTAAATTTAGAAATAAATCAGAAATTTTTTTTTTGGATTGTCAATTGTGAGCCAAAGAATTTCGAATGTGTGTCAACAATTTATTTTGTTTAGATATTGATGGGATAGACGTGAATATGGGGTGTCCGAAAAGTTTCTCGTTAAAGGGTGGAATGGGGGCTGCTCTACTATCTCATCCTGATAAGGTAATCTTTAGCATTTTGGATATTATATTTTGTCTAAATATACATTTATTTACCCTGAAAAATCATTTAATTTCTTCAGTTCAGCTCAAAAAAAAAACATTAAAAATCCAAACATTTGGCAGGAAAAATATGATTCCTTGAAGGGGTGTAATAACCCCATACGCAATTGAAAATAAAATAATGACCCGGTCCTAATGGACGGCTGCGTCCGATCTTTTTCTGACTACTGATTCCCCCCAAAATGCAAAAAGGCAAATATTTTTCGATGGTAAAGACTCCTTGTTTGTAGATAGTTGATATACTAAGCAAATTGAAGGCTGCAGTTAGTATACCGGTAACTTGTAAAATAAGACTGCTTTCAACTGTTGAGAAAACTATAGGTAATTTTTCCGTAGTTATCTACACCAAACACCCACCCCCGCCTGGAAAAAATTTTATCTTTTAAATGAAGGCACTAAATTAAGATTTAAATAAGGGTTTCGATTTTTATTACCCTTTTTGAAGTTTTCCGTGTAGGTTTTTATACATACAAGTTAAACTGTAGTTTGTGGAATAAAAGCTAAGATCAGCCTTGGGTAGCACTATGTTTGTTTACATTCCTCCCTAAAACTGCAGTAAACTTGATATTAAAATACAGCAATGAAAAAATACCTGGTATATTTCTAGACTTGCTTTAACAGTTATTCGAAAAATGACCAAATGCATCCCCTCCCCATAGCTATTTTTTTCTTCAAAACTTTGTTAAATTTCAGATTTAGTGAAAATCATAGAAAAGACTGGAATTGACGCTATAGGAGTTCACGGACGAACCAAAGACCAACGACCTAACCATGCCAATAATACAGATGCCATCAGGTTTATCATATTTCGGAAATTCAGAAAGAAAAAGAGAAATTGTAGACTTTATTTAAATTTTTTTTATTCTTTTTACTTTTTATTGTTATTTTACTTGCATACATTTTCCCTTCGTGCATTTAAAAACAATTAAGTTTAATGTCAGATTTTTCTGTTGACATTTTTTAATTACAAAAATAAATTTGATATTTTTTAAGAGAAATTTTTCATTAATCTGTATTTATCTATCTATATCTTTGGTCATTTGAGGTATCAAAATTAAAAAGCTATACTAGCCAACTAGCAACTTTATCTAGGATAATAGCTGAAAATACTAGCTTAACTGTGATAGCTAATGGAGGATCAAGCAATAATAGAAATAGTGCAGAAAATACATATAAAGGTGAGGAAAAAGTGTTATAGACCCAGGAAGAATATGAATATGTTTAAAAATGTGTGAAAATGTATGAAAATAAATATTTGAAATTTTGATGATTCTTAAACCTTCCCTGGGCTCCCTAGATGTCCCACAAAAAATTTGGGCCCGATCGGTTCAGCCGTTTTGACGTTTATTGGATACAAACAAACAAACAGACAAACAAAAAGACAGACAAACAAGCCAAATTTATATATAGATTAAAAGAAAATGAATGAAAATGCTGGAAATTGTTTGTAAAATCCGTGAAAATGTTTGCATGCGATGTTATGAATAATCAAAACAATAACAAACAATTATCCATACATTTATGCAATACGCATACTTATTGACAAGTAATCAAAATATTTTTACAAGGAATCAAAGATTTTTGGGAGCGAAGTGGAGCATCAAGTGTCATGATTGCTCGAGCTGCGGAGTGGAACCTCTCAGTTTTCAGGTAAAAAATACACACATTTAAGTTAAACATATTTTCTCCCTTTAAACTCTCAAAAAAGCAATAAAGAACCTGAAGAGAAGAACATATTATTAATTCAATAATTTTCTTGAACTTTGCCTTCTTAATTTTGTCCATCCTCTCGACGAACTTTATGTTTTCATTGCATAGCTTTCTATTTTGCAAATCTTTATTTTCTATTTTTTATTTTGAAATCTCCTGTGTTCAGGGCTGAAGAGAAGGATGATATAATGGTTGTTATTGATAAATACCTCGATCTTGCAATCCATTATGATTATCCGTTTGTCATGGTCAAATACTGTGTTCAACAAATGATGGGATCTTTACAGGATACTCCACAGGGTAGGTTTTATTTATAGATTAGATAATTTCTTTACCTTGGTTTCAAATCTAGAAGATCGCGTAAATTCCATCATATATATCTTAATTCTTAACTGTGCCTTCTAAGCGGTTTCACATGGAAAAGATTCAACTCTGAAACAAAATTGGTGTCCATAATAAACGTAGAAGGAGTCTATAGTTTAACTTTACAATTTTGAAACCAGATTTGGATCATGAGGCTTATCGATTGATTGCTTGTTTGACTATTTGATTGCTTTATTGTTTTATTGAGTGCTTGATTGATTAATCGAATGCTTGATTGATTAATTGAGTGCTTGATTTATTAATTGAGTGTTTGATTTTAAGTGCTTGATTTATTAATTTTTTGATTAATTGAGTGCTTATTAATTGAGTGTTTGATTGATTGATTGATTCACTGGTTTGATTTTACTGATGACTGGTTTAATTTTACTGATGACTGGTTTGATTTTACTGATTGACTATTTGCTTGAATGATATAGTCGATTAGCTGATGGATTGATTTGTTTTTAAAGTTTTTTTTTAAAATGAATTAGAGCTTTAAAAAAGATGTATTGTAAAAGAATCCTATTTCACCTAATTTAATTTGATTTGATTATTAATAAAGGACGTGATTTCCTTGAATCCTCGACTATGGGAGATCTTTGTAAAGTTTTTGGAGTAGAAGAAAAATACAGGCTTAAGCAAAAGGTAACATTTTTTTAAAGAGAAAATAAAAAAAAATAAAATTTTTTCTTATTTAGGAACTTGGGATGGGGGATAGACCAGATCATGTTTATGCTGTTAGGTAATCATTAATAATGTATGAATTAAGGGGGAAATTTTCGATTATTTTGTTATCAAAATGCCACGAATTTTTAAACTGATAAAACCACGGAGATTTTTAAGATGAACATAAGACTTATTTAGGTTTTTTATTCTCTCAAATTAAATGGTTTGGCAACCTGTTACTTTCATGTAATTTTATATGTTTTTCCTGAAAATTGTCTGTGAAGAAGTATTTTTTTTTGTGCTGAATCATGAATTTCTCTCAGACGTACCATTTTTAGACTAAACGAGTATTAAATAATCGTTTTACAAATTAAAGGAGTTTTAAGGTGAAAATTATTTGGTGTATTTCTTCCAAATAAAAAATTAAAACTTTCCTAGAATGAAGAAGGAAGGGGAGAGTGGGACGAGAAAGCGAAAAAGCGGAGATGATGAAATAACAGAGATGTTTTGCCCGTTCGTCCGGGGTCATTATGGTCCAGACAATAGCCCAAATTTGCCCAAGGTTGGATAGAAAAACAAATAAAAATAAGTAAAATAAAATAGGAGAAATTTAAAAAATAAAAAATAACCAAAAAAGAATTTTTTTTCAGAGTAAATTGCTTGTCTACACAAGGCAACAGGACTGGGAAAATCCATCTTACAAGGTAGCAATTTTTTTGGAGGGGGGGGGGAGCAGATGTTAGTATTTTCGCTTTAAAAATAAAAAAAGATTTTGGTTGGTTTATTCACCTTTATGAAAATAACAGGGATACTTTTTTATGTTTTCCTCTATTGTGCCCGTTTCGGTATTAATCAGCTATTAACATAATGTGGCAACATTAACTTAAAAGTCCATTTGTTCAGGTGTTTCAAGAAGACAAAAAATTTCGATCCATCGTAAATGTGAATGGAGAATTTTACAGGTATATTTTAGGTTTAACATTTTTTAAGGATTTTTTAGGCTGATTTGAGAGAAAAATTTAAAAATTTGCTGAAAAGGAGAAAATAAATGATTTTTGGTCGAAAAATAAATAAATTTTTACGTTAAAAGAATAGAAATGATTATAAACCTGCCTTTAAATGTCCAGTTGTTAATTCTTAAAAATAAACACCCCTGGAATAATTTCAGAATAGTTTGACTACGATTCGAGTAGAATTGAAAACGGGATTTCAATAAGATTTGTGGGAAATTAAAGTCACATTTGGAGGAGTTTGAATTGGATTAGGGTAGACGAAAAGAAATATTGATTAAATTTTGTTCTAAGTTGTGTTAATTTTTCAGAATTGATTTTAGATGATTTGGGGTGAAAAATGAAAAATTATACACCAAAAGGCAACTTTATTTTATTCACCAAAAATTCGTTGATTTCCCCTATAAATCATTTATTTTCCCAAATTCAGTAAATAAGCTTATTTATAACTTCTTGGGGGGGGGGATTTTCAAAATGTTTTTCGAGAAAATACATACCCCATAATTTTGTTGTAGTTCTATATCTTGGGAGAAAAATAAAAGATATGCGGAACAAGCAGCTGCGTTGGTGGCAACCATTTGCCTGGGAATAACGGAACAAAATCTGGCACACCAAACCATACCAGTTCAGACTCCTTCTAACCAAACCATACCAGTTCAGACTCCTTCTAACCAAACCATACCAGACCAGAGTCCTTTAAATCAAACCATACAAGACCAAACCCCTTCAAATCAAACCATACCAGACCAGACTCCTTCAAACCAAACTATACCAGATAAGATCCTACCAATCACTCAAATCCAAACTTTATCTGACCTAAACTCTTCTAATCAATGCAAAGAAGAACTTTGTCCAGAAAACACTTTACAACACCAAGATCATTCATAAGGAAATGTTCCCATTCTTTATACTTTTTCTTTAAAAACTATGACAGTTAATTGCTAAAATTATATTATAAATATTATTTCAGAAAAAAAAATATTCTTTCAGATAAAAATGCCCGATCTCTTGAGTAATCTTTGCAGAGCTTTGGAGGACTGGGATGTGGTCAAGGCAGAACAGGAGTTAAACAAACCAGAAAACAGGTTTAGTAGGAGATACACAAACCCGAAAACAGGTTTATTAGGAGAAAAACAAAGCAGAAAATAGGTTTATTAGGAGATAAACAAACCAGAAAATAGGTTTATTAGGAGATAAACAAACCAGAAAACAGGTTTAGAAGGAGATACACAAACCAGAAAACAGGTTTAGAAGGAGATACACAAACCATAAAACAGGTTTACTAGGAGATGAACAAACTATAAAACAGGTATATTAGGAGATAAACAAACCAGAAAACAGGTTAAGTAGGAGATAAACAAACCAGAGAACAGGTTTAGTAGAAGATTAAGAAACTATAAAGCAGGTTTAGTAGAAGATGAACAAACCAGAAGACAGGATTAGTAGAAGATAAACAAACTAGAAGACAGGTTTAGTAGAAGATAAACAAACCAGAAGAAAGGATTAGTAGAAGATAAACAAACTAGAAGACAGGTTTAGTAGAAGATAAACAAACTAGAAGACAGGTTTAGTAGAAGAAAAACAAACCAGTCAGGTTTAGTAGAAGATAAACAAACTAGAAGACAGGTTATAGTAGAAGATAAACAAACTAGAAGACAGGTTTAGTAGAAGATAAACAAACTAGAAGACAGGTTTAGTAGAAGAAAAACAAACCAGTCAGGTTTAGTAGAAGATCAACAAACTAGAAGACAGGAGATAAACAAACTAGAAGACAGGTTTAGTAGAAGATAAACAAACTAGAAGACAGGTTTAGTAGAAGTTAAACAAACTAGAAGACAGGTTCAGTAGAAGATAAACAAACTAGAAGACAGGTTCAGTAGGAGATGAACAAAAATAAAGTAAAGAGTTTATTCAAAGAAGACTGACAAGTGCAGTGACCATTAAAAGAAGATCAACTTAGGAAGTAGGTTTGAGATTTAGATAAAATCCATAAGAATTAAAAATATGAAAAATTAATAGTCGATTGAGACTGAAAGAGAGGGTAAAGGTGGTTATGGGAATAAGTGCAAAATGAAGTTTAAATAAGAAAAAGAGAAATTAAATATATTTATATAATCTCTTTTTCTTTCTTCTTTCTCAGAAATAACTAAAAAAATGACATACACAATTACGAACTGAACAAAAACAACAATATTTAAAGGACTTGAATTATTAGAACCAGTTTTTATAAACTCAGAAAGAGGAGAATAAATTACTATTTTCCCAGGGACTGGTTGCAGAAAAATAGCTGGGATGTAATCCCCTTAGTGTGCGAGTACATTACAGTACAAATAGAGGAAACCGGTCCACACCTTGTACAGTGCTGTCAGGTAAACAATAAACACCTTGTACAGTGCTGTCAGGTAAATAATAAACACCTTGTACAGTGCTGTCAGGTAAACAATAAACACCTTGTACAGTGCTGTCAGGTTAGCAATAAACACCTTGTACAGTGCTGTCTGGTAAACAATAAACACCTTGTACATTGTAAAATTCTGTCATGCACATTAAAATAGTTTTTAGTATATGAAGAGCTAAAGAGAACCTAATTGATTATAATATTACAGGAGTTGCTAGTTATAGCTACCAGAAGAGGAATAGCTATAGAGAACCTAATTTATTATAATATTCTAGAAGTTGCTAGTAATAGCTGCTACTGTAGAAGTAGCTAAAGAGAACCTTTTTCATTATAATATTACAGGAGTTGCTAGTAAAAGCTGCTACTGTAGGAGTCGCTAAAGAGAACCTAATTCATTATAATGTTATAGGAGCTGCGAGTAATAGCTGCTACTGTAGGATTAGCGGAAGAGAACCTAATTCATTATAATATTACAGGAGTTGCTATTAATAGCTTCTACTGTAGGAATAGCTTAAGAGAACCTAATTCATTCTAATATTACAGGAGTTGTTAGTAATAGCTGCTAGTATTGGAGTAGCTAAAGAGAACCTCATAGCTATTCTTGAACAGATCGATGGATTCAGGTAAAAATATATCAATCAATCAATCAAACATTTGTTTAATCATATATCAATTAATCAAAGGATCAATAATATATTTTAGAAAAAATCTCATAATTTTAAGTTTCTCCTGTACTCTTTCTACATTTATTTGACATTCGTTTTCTCTAATGTTTCTCAAATATGATCAAATTAAATCTCAGTATTTAAAGGGGTGTGGCTGAGGGGTCGAATGTCTTATCGACTTAAACTGATAACTTTCAAAATTAATGTATTTAAACACGAAATGCAATACTCTTTCAAGAATGGACTTTTGTCGAAAATGCCACATTCTGAGCCACAAAGCCACAACTCCCTATCCTGTAATGCGGTGCAACTCCAATGGAAAAACCTTTTCAAATTCTTCTTAAACTGGGAATATAGTATAAATCATGGACAGAGTATTTTTAACCAAGCATTCCTGATACCCAACTCTTCACCTATCCTCAACTTCTTATTACCCAAAGTTTCAGAACTTGACGTCACTAAGAGCTACTCTGAGATTCCCTAAAGCATTAAATTCCCTAAAGCATGAAATTAAAAGAACCCAGAAGAAAAAAGGAAGAACTCTCCAATTGATAAGCTTTACATTATCAACCTGTACCGTTAGCAAATGGAGACACCATTGGAGGAACCCTTTTCAGTTTTCAAAAAATTTGGGACTGGGAGAAAGCAAGGTCCTCCAGGAGTAGTTCTGAAACCTGTAAAATGTTGGTTTTGCAGGGATGTCACAACAAAATTTTTTTTTTCTTTTCAAAATCAGCTAACTTGTGGTCAATGATGCAAAACAAGAACAAAACAAATGGAGATTATAAGAAAAATAAAAAACCAGCAGCTGCTTTCATATGATTGTTTCTACAATTTTATAATAAAACTTGTTAAAACCAATATCCAAAAATAAAAATGTTAAAAAAATATTTAAACAAGAAGAATTTGCTAACCATTCATTAGTTTTGGTTTGGCTTAAGCCCCCATTCAATATTCATGAACCCTCTTAGTAATGTTTTGAAATTCTGTGGCAGTACGGTCTTGGGATTAGTATAATGCATAAACAAATGATTATTTTTTTGTTAAAGGTCTGTTTTATTGGTCAGACGCGTTCTTCCTGCTCTTGGTATTATTTTACTGAAAATCAAGGAAAATACAAATAATATTTAAATATACAATTTGATATAATTTTTAATGTATTTTTATGTTTCATCATTACAATCCATGTGTACTGTCACTTTTTAAAATTTTTATTGAAACTTAGTTTTTAGGCAATTCATAATGATCACTGATTCAGCGACAAAAAGTTCTTCTGATTTTTCTCCAGAAATTCATTTTTTGTATTTCTGACTTTCCTTTTTTTTTGGGAAAAGTTACCTTAATCTCAATATAAAGAAATGATTAATCTACTTATTACATTCTCAAAGGTATGTAAAATTTACAGATTGCTCCAGATGCCAGAAGATCAGAGCAATACTTAAAATGGACCGAAATTTTCTGAGCTTTTTTATCCATCTTTATCTATATATCTATTTTTTTCCTTAATTATTATTAGTTTTATAATTTTTAGTGACCAGCCGGTGTTGTCTAGGTTACTCATAATTACTCAGGCCGTTTATCTGCGCTTCAGGTCTTTAAGACGATTTCAGCAATTTTTCCTGATATAACATTCAATTTAGGTTCTCAAAATCAATTTCTGTAGTTCTCCCCAGTTCCCCAATCAAAATTTGACGCAAATCAGTCACGGGGTTCCTGAGTTATGATCAGACATACAAACAGAGAACACTATTTTATATATAGTTTATTATTTTTATAATTATTGTCATTATTATTATTTGTAATGTTGTGAGGGTAGGATCAGGCTAAATCCCATTCCTGGTCCTGGGCACTAGATACAGTAGCTTGTAAAAACTATCACAGCTCCACCCAATTCAGGTAATTATATATAGGAGGGTCGGGGGGGGGGGGGGGGCTCCTGCACCCTAAGGGTTTCAGAGCCGTAAATGACGTCTCAAAATGTATTTGCGGCAGCCCGCTTCGCCACAGCGCTTCTGAGTCCTAGCCCAAACCTTGTCTTTGGAATATCCTTAGTAACTAATGGTCGATTGTGGCTCAAAAGCCGTTTGGGTGATGCTGCCTTCTCTCCCCCATCAATCATTGGTACAGGTGGTCAAAGATTTACTATCTGACAAGTTTTAGTTTATCCCCCAACTAGTATTATTCTACAAGAAATATGTACCCCTGATCTACTCGTGTCTTTTCTAGAATATACCAGGGAACTAAATACATCATTGGTCAACTCTCAGATTTTAGCTGATTCGTTCATTCGTTAATTGATTGATTGATTGATTGATTGATTGATTTGATTTAATGATATATTTCTTCAGGATTAGAAGGTGTTGAGCGCTTAACCCTAGATCTCAGTGAATCAGCTGCAGAGAGTCTCGATCTTCTAGGTGAGCTGACCCTCCCCCTTATTATCACTCTGCAGCTTGCAAAGAGACTGTTAACGTAATTTCAAGTGACCCTTCATTGATAAAAGGATCACGTTCGATTCACAACAGTACTTTTTAAAACTTTTATAAAGTATGAATTAGATATCCATGTTTTTGTCTGCATAAAAAGTCTTTACAATATCCAGGAGTTTACCACTACTACTTAGACTGCATTGGATACAATACCCAAGAGTTTACCTCTACTATGTACACTACGTTTAAAATCAATTCAATAGCTGAAACATAAACAGCTAATGTTTATTTTTATAAAAGCCCTGCTTTAAAGAAAATGTTGTTGCTCTAAGCATGAAAATTGAAAACAATCCGAGTTTATAAATTCTTGGGGCAAATTTGAGGGGTAAAAAAGTATCAAAGTGGGCCTTTAAAAAACTTGCCTGAATTATGTCCAATCTAATATTTTCCACCACCCCAAAATCTTCTAAATAATTATCCTTAGAAAAATGAAAAAACCATGTTTAGATGATCTGATAACCTTCCTCGGCCCCCTGGTGGAGTGCGCATGTTCTGGTGAAACGAGCAAGGAGACTGAGAAGAGGAAGGAGATCCTCGTTAATATTATCCTTGTCATCCTGCTACATCCTATCTCAGGTTTAGGGTATATAATATATTTGTGAACAAACCACCCCCACCCCTCCTTTATGTTCGAGTGCGTAAACATTTATTTATGAATTTTATATCTAATTTCGAATCGATCGTGAGTAAATTAAGAAGTTTCAGGATAAAGTGCCAGTTGTGTTTTATTCCCCCCCCCCCATACACGAAATTTGTTTCCCAACCACGGCACTAGGTGGCGGTAATTCTTATTGGTATATATCATATACACCCCGCTTAGGTTTATCCCAGCACCCGGAGATATCAACTCTACAAACAGAAGTTTTGCCGCGTAGTTTTAAACCTGCGCGCAAACTGGTTGAATTCATTTCCGTGCTGCGAGGGAACATGTTACGTGATATACTTGAGGTTAAACCAGGCAAGGAGGACGAGGAGGACTCTAAGATATCCCTGGGGATTTACCTGTATCTAGTTTTCGGGGAGAACATGCTGGTTGAGAATATTCCCCAGGTGTATTCCCACCTGGAGCTCCTCTCCGTCTCCATACCCTATATCCGGGTCCTACTGGAGAACAACCAGGAGATATTCGTCTTTAAAGGAGTTCTTCTTCTCAAATCTTTACTAAAGGAAACCCATCTATGCTAGATAAATATAAAAATATTCATAGACGTATCTTTCTGTCTGCATATTATTTCTCAATAAGGCCGTAACTTCAGGGGACTTCAGGGTACTCTCCTATCTTCATTTATGGAGTTGCATGTCTGATTCACAACGGGGTATCATTTAAAGAATTGCCTTATCAAGATCAGAATGCATGAGATATCCATTATCGCCTCTTGGTGAAATTGATAATTTTAAGTAAAGTGACTTGACTATTTTCAAACAAAAAAATAAATTTCTGAATTAAAAATTTTTTAACAAGAGAAAAATGACGATGTCTTCCCTATTATTGATCAATTATAGGTTTAAATGTTACCCTTGTGAATCGGGCAATGTCTCGATTCCAGCTGTTCTGATTATGGTAGAAACCTGAAACATGAATTGAAACCTTCATGTTTAGTTCATTTTTATTCCATAATGCTAAAATTAGTTTCCTGGAAAAGAAATCGAAATAAATATTTGGGTTGTGTTTAGAGGATCCCTGCTGATTGGTTGGAAGGATCTACTAGTGATGATCCACAACTCCTTAGTCTAGTTGATCCACTCACAAAAGTTATAGTGTACAACTCTGTACGGGAGACGAGAGAAACTGGTTTTATCTGCTTCACATTGTTGGTAAACATATTCAATGCCGAGGCAAGGTTTAATCTCTACAAATATCTCTTCAATACCCTGCAGCATTCAGGTTATTATGAATCTGAAGCGTAATTTTAGATGACCCTCCATTTAAAAATGGCAATGCCCGATCAAAATGATAACATTCAAATTTTTGTCTGGTCTGAAGTAATATGTATGAACTAGAAAACCATGTTATTGTTCATGAAAACTGTTTTCTATAAGTTCAAATACTATTTTAAAATGTGAACATTAATTATCCATCAAATAAAATTTTAATTAAAAAGGGAGAAATCTTGCTGCTAGCAGAAGTCCAACCTGTTATTCCCCCACCAAAAAAGGAAAACCTTACAAATCATTTAAAAATCAATTCTATAAGATATACTCCAGTGTTCTGTATCAAGCCTATTAGATATTGGAATATACGCAATCTTATTTATAGGTTTACTTGGATGGACTGTGACGCATTTAAAGAATACGTTAGCTTTATTTTTTAAAGACCCAGCTATATACCCTGGTTACACAGGTAACAATATTAGTGAGTTAACCCTGAACTACCTGTGATGTCGGAGGGGAGGGGGGCATGGGGTAGTTTAAAAGATTATTTTTATGTCATTCGTGTCAAATGGATTAAAGGTCTAGTGGATTTTTAACGATTGAAAGTTGACTGCTATTTTTGATTATTAATATTATTAAAGAACACTGCAAACCTTCCAAAAATGATTGCAAATAACTATTTGTATATCCGCCATTGCATATGACAATTCATCGCCATTTTCTAGCTCGTCTTTACTTGAAAATCAAATGTAAATCAAGGGGGGAGGGGAATTACTAACCAACCATAAAAGAATGTTAAAAATGCGCAATTTAGAGGATAAAATTTGCGCACTGTTGAGTAAACTATTTCATCTTGAACATGGAGCAGAAACAGATCTGCTAGAAATTAGGTAATTTAATGTTATTCTTTAGAAATTAAATATCTTAAATAGATTTTTAATGTGGTCTACGTTACGACTAGAATATGGAATTTATTCAAGGGCAAAATCTTATTTGATATGGAAAAAAAATTTGTTTTGTTTTATTATTATTATCTAGTAATTATGGAGAACGTCTTATTCTGTTAGCTTGTTTACTGTTACAGATTTGTTTTACCTACAAAATGTAACTTCTACTGATTTTTACGTTTTTTTCTTTAATTATTAAATATTAGTTTTGCTGCTGTTTACGTAAGAAATTAATCACTAAAAGTTTGTTTTTTATTTATTTTTATTTCACTGCTTATAACTGTTATTATTTAGTGACGAGTTGATTTCTGAAATAAACCTAGGAATCTATTTAGCAGCAAGATGTCCAGGTCTTATATTTAATATTTTAAAGAAACTACATTATTAACAAAATCACTTACCCACCCTGCCACCATCATATTAATTTTAGAGTCTTTTTTCTCACTATGTGGTTTAGATTGGTATGGTTAGTGGTGAGCACACACATGCTGCGGATTCAGAATTCTGTGTTTTAAAAATTTAAGAATTTTTTTTTTTCGTGAACATACCAAGGCACACCTTTTCAGGGTGAGGACTGCCTAAAAAAAATAGCATGTCGATAGCATACTCCATAGAATATTTTCTGCAATCCCCCCCTGCCNGGGGGGGGGGGGAAGGACATTGAAGAAATGTACGCTCCTGCATAAATGAAGTGCTTTTCAAAAAGAAACTAATGCACTATGATATTTAAATTGTTTTTAGATTATCTGACTGAAGTTGCTGCATTCAAAACAACGATTAAAGTTTGGGCATTTCAAATACAGGACAATTTTGACAATCAATTAAAGAACATTTGGCACTTGGTTTAGAATCAATGATAGAAGAGATTTTTAAGAAGAAAATAAGATAAAATGCTAAGATTCTTTATTTGGAAAACATTCTTTGAATCTTTCTATCATTTTTGATGTACATTATGAATGAGTTATGTACAATTTGTACAGTTTGTACATTGTACAATTGTACATCGTACAAGTGGCTTAAAAAATATCCAATGGTATAACAAATATTTTAAAGTATTTAACAATCCCTGGGAGATCTAGGTTGTCCACTTTTACTATTACTTTTATTTAATTTTTATTGTCAAATTATTTTCTTAGGAGGCTTTGAAGATGTCGAAGGCTCATTGGGAATTAAAACATAAAAACGAAAGGCAACGTAACAAAAAAAATTAATAACTATTTATAACCCTAATTGTATCTTATGTCTTATGTCTTATAACATTGCTTTATTGGTTCGCAGTGTTATAAAGTTTTTGGACATACATTTTCTAAAGATCAAATAAGCTTTGTAACAAAGGAGAAGTATAAAAAATAGAGTTGATTTCAATTCATTTTCATTTCAACTGAAAAAAATTATTTTGGAAATATCCTAATTTTTTTGGAGAAAAAATTCGGGAACCAATCAAAACATTTTAGCACACGTGCTATAAAGTATAGCAAATTTAACTATAGAGCACGATGATTACTTTATAGCACGTTTTTTATGAAATTCACAATGAAGTGAGCAATAATAATAAAGTACACAATAATTTTTATAAAATAACCTAAATGACCAAAATAGTTTAAAGGGACTTCAACCATAGTTTCAGGTGTCCTACATGTCATGCAAAGACGACAATACTCGATCCACAACCGGACCTTTAAAAGCTTTGTTAGATTAAGTATGAATTGTATAATGTATATTACTGTTATAACTTAAAAGAAAAACGGATTATTTTCAATTGTGGTTTCTCTAAAAATCTGTCTTGCTCAATGCGTATCAGAAAATCTTAATCAAATACTTTTGAACCTAATAACACAACCATATCTTCCACATTATTGATCAAATAAAGATTCCAAGGGTACCATTGGGACCAGAGAATTGTCATCTTTTCATGGAGGGTCACTTGAAATTACGCTTACAGTCCCTTTAAAAAGGTGGTACATTAGATTCTATTAGATGCACTAATTTCCGTCTCACATCAATTTCTTTCTTTTTTATTTATCGTAATTTAAAAATATATATTCGATATATATTTTTTTTTTTTTTGTGTTTAGTGGGGTTGGTCCTGATGTAAGTATCCAGGTGGGCGGACAGAACCTCCCTAGCATGAACAAGGAGCAGATGGGGAAGGTGATCAACTCTGCCCTCACCACCCTCGACATTATTCATTTCAATCTAGTTTCACTTCTCAACAAGCTGGAGTAGTTCCATTAGCCAATTAGTCCCCCCCCCTCCCAAAAAAAAAGATAAATTCAAAAATTAGAGGAGTCAAACATATAGAGTTTAAAAAGAAAGTATTAACAAAGAGTGAGTCCCAAAAAACTCTTCGAGTCCAAAAGAACAGGTGTACGAAGTCCAACTGTCGGGAAGTTCCAATCAAAAAGTTCCAACAAACTGTGATTCCCAACAAATAAAGAATTTTATACTTGAAGTCCCAAAAACAGAGAGTTTTAGCAAAAAGAGAGTTCGATATAAGGAAGTCCCAACAAACTGATAGTTTTGAAAGAAGACATTTAAACGAACTGAGAGTTCTGATGAAGGAGTGATAAAACAACAAAAAAAACCCAATTTCCGAAAAACTTAAGTGTCTAAACAAACGGAAATCCCAATGCACAGAAACTGCCAACTACAAGATACTGCAATTGTTGAAAATTTTCACCCATGATATTTATTCACCAATCAGTTGTTTTTTATTGATTTTGCTGCAACGCTTCTTAAAAGATTTTTCAATCTATTATTTCTCATTAATTACTGTAATCTTTAAAAGATAATTTTTCCTCCAATAAATTCATTTTGTTGATTAGGAATCTTAAACCCATGGATTTCATTACTTATAATATACATTTAAAATTATTCTTTTCTAATTAGGGTCCAAAACTGACAATATGAAATTCCCAAAAGGTTAATCTAACTCCAGTTTTCAAATATACCATTGTAATAAGGCTGTGATTAATTTGATGATAATGTTGTTAAATGCGAATTTTTGATCTTCAGATCAAAGATGGCGTCGCGAAGCGGGAAAATGGTGGATGGAACAGATGGGACGGATTATCAGCACAGAGAAAGGGTTGCGGCTCAGTACCAGGTATACAACTTGTTACTTTTGTAATCTATAGTTCTGAATGAGGGTGAGGTTTATTTTTGGAGGGGGTTGGGTCAAAGATCGTCAAATAGCAATTTATGTATTTTAGGGAATCTTTCTTTGAATTGACATTTTATGTGACTTTTCTTAAAAAGTTGAATAGTTTTAAGTTCATAAATGTTAACTTAAATTATTAATATTCTGATGAAATCACAAAAATAAACTATTATATCTTTTTTTCTAAGAAGTAATTGATCACATAAACTTAATTTGTCATTCAAAACTAAATAGTAGAATACGAAACAATTTGCTTTTTGCAAATCTTTAAAGCGACTCTCACTGAAATGTCAAGTGCTGTTTATTAAAATGAGGGCATAGCATTGCTCAAGGATAAGAGAGCATAGAGATCTATTAAAGGCTAGAATATGCGATATTTTCTACAGCGGGATCCGTTGTGTACAACTGGGGTACAATAACCAATTTGTAAACAAACATTTATTTGCAGGGATAGTTAAGGCTCATTAGGATGCGATTTACAAAACCTTCTTAAATTGATTAAATTCATTTTTAATGTTTTATGTTGAAAGTTTTTTTATTGTAAAAATAAACCGCTGAATGGAGATTTTATACAAAAAGACGTGTTAGATGAAGGATCATAACTCATAAAACTTGCTCTAGAAATATATCATACTTTGTCGGTTTGAGTGTGGCTTATCTGACTGAGCGTATTAGATTTGATTAGATAACCCTTCCACAAAAGTCGGGGAAATTTCTTTGTTTGTCCAGCTTGAAAGTGTTCAATCCTGACAATTACCTCTATCGTTTCTACAGCAGTTATTCGCAAGTCACTTAATAAAGAAAACCTCAATTGAAAAACCATGAACCTTGATCATTCTAAGTTTTTAAAAGGACCGTTGTGAATCGGAAGGCCATTTTAAATTTAGTTTACAGTCCCTATAATCTGAAAATATTTTCAGGTGTCTGCCAAGAATAAGTCTAGACTGAAACTGTTTGTATTTATTCATTGGTTGATGGGTGGTATTCATATACTCCGCCTTCTACCCTCAGATATCCTTCCCCTTCCACCCTTCCCAGCACCCACAGAGGTAATTATCCGTGTCTGCTTGTTTGTCGGCCTTTTTGCCTGTTTTTTTTTCAATCTGATGTACTTCTTTATTGCAATTATTTACAAGAAAAAAATATTTAGTTTGTTCTTGATGGCCAATGTTTCAGATCCATGCATGTTTAAACTCTATCTATCTTTTATCCATCTATCTAAACAATCTTAATATTAATAAAAAGAGGAGATCAAGCATTGAATTAAATATACACAATTCTAAAGCTTTCAGCTCTGGTCGGATTTTACATGTAGGTGGTCTGCGCTGCCCAAGTTAGATCTTCTTGTCCAACTCATCTCTTTTAATCCTTATGTATAATATGTAACATCATAACTTGAGTTTTGACAGTCGTCTTCCTATGTCAAAGTTATATAGGGTTCACTGTATTTAGATAGATTACGCGTGGTTGATCTCCCTGCCCTTTACTCTGGTAGCTGTATCAGCTTGTAGGAAATCTAAACCAGGAGGTCTTAATGTTTTCCAGTTTGCCATTCTGGGTAAGTTAAGCATTATTTTTGTATTCTATAAATATTTGTCTCCTTGTTTGTATGTATTAAATCCACGTCTAAATTTGTGTATATTGAAATATAATGAATAAATTGCGTTATAGTGTCGTTGATTCTTCTATACTTTAAGTGTCGTTGATCCTAATTCTCTTTAATGTTTCCGTTATCCTTTTTTCTTTAAACTTTCGTAAGTTTCGTAGCTGATCGACCCGGCGGATAATTAAAGGGCAGAAGCGGGTTATGGGGGTGTGAAAGGGGGACGCCCCCCTTGGAAAAATCAGGGGCGTTAGAAGATCGAGAGTAGGTACCCCCAGCTTGTCATATGAAAATGACCAAATTCCTTCAAATAATATCCAGGAGGATAAATTTTTTCGGCACTTTAATTCAATTATTCCCGCCCCCCCCCCCCCCCCCCCCCCCCTCTGTAAAATATCGGAAGTCGCCCCAGTGGAGTTAAACAACTTAGTCTAGGTTGGGAAACTACTGTGCTCGCTATTAATTAAATCTTGTCCCTTTCCTGTGCTAATACTTTTTTAAAAGTGTCGTTGAACTTATTTTTAAAAGTGTCGTTGATCATATTTCTAAAGGTGTCGTTGTTCATATTTTTAAAGGTGTCGTTGATCATATTACTAAAGGTGTCGTTGATCATATTTTTAAAGATGACGTTGATCTTATTTTTAAAGATTTCGTTGATCATATTTTTAAAGGTGTCGTTGATCTTAGTTTTAAAGATGTTGTTGATCATATTTTTAAAGGTTTTGTTGATCTTATTATAAAAGATGTCGTTGATCTTATTTTATAGGTGTCGTTGATCTTTTAAAGGTGTCGTTGATCTTATTAAATCTGTCGTCAATCCTGTTTTTAAAACTATTGTTAATCCTGTTTTTATAGCTGTCGTCGATCCTGATTTAAATCCGTCGTTGATTTTATTTTGTAAAGCTGTCGTTGATTTTATTTTTTAAAGCTGTCGTTGATTGTGTTTTTTAAAGCTGTCGTTATTATTTTTTTAAGCTGTCGTTGATCTAATTTTTACAGCTGTCGTTGATCTTGTTTTTTTTCAGGAGTTGGAATTTGCCCTCTGTTGATAACCTTGTTTTTCTGTAGCCCTGATGTACTGCAAGTTATAGTTTCCGGCAGTACAAAAGGGCTCTTCATGTGGAACGTAAGTCGAATCTTCATAAAATATGAGTTTTAGGCCTGTGCATAAATAGACGGACTGTTGTTATTGATTGACCAATCATATACAGAGTGGCATGCCCAATTCACACCGGTCGCAGTACCCGTGAACACTTTTTCTGATCAATAATCGACGTTTTCCAAGCTTTAAAAGGTTTCAATTACTCCAATTTCTCTTTTGCAGAAATACACAAGTCATTTTTATAGAGAAACCACAATGGAAAATAATCAGACAACATGGATATCTCATTCAAATACTAAGCTTGTGATCAACGTTTACGGAAAAATTACAATGGAAAATTATATATTTTCACTGAGAAAACATGGATAGTTAATGCAAGGAAAGTTAATTGCAGTTTGAAACCAGTTCTCTCTGGACGTAGTTTAATAACAAGAATAGATGCATCAGTGTTCGTTTAGTATCCGAGGAGGTTAAAAGCATTTAATTTTGATAATTTTGATATTTCATATAATAGTTTCCTATGACAGAACAGTTAGTTGATTTTTTTTATGTGAAAGATGGATCCCATTTCAGGCTTCGACATCCGTCTTGTGTTTACATTACCGCCCAGAGATAGTACACTGCAGTACAAAAGATGCATGCGTACACCTCTGAAATAACTTTTCTTGCATTATAACCTTGAATTAATGCATCCTTGTTCATATAAATGTTTGAAGGATTGATTATTACTTGACCCTTTATTTAAAGAGTTTCGTGCTGCCATACAACATAACCCATCTGTATCCGTTCAAAAAATATACAAGACATTCTTGTTTTTCTATCTAAAAATTAATAATTTTCAATTGCAGTTTCTCAAATATTTGTCAATGGTTTCAAGAAAGATTTTTTTTTAAATGGAAACGATGCTTTTCTCATTCTGCAATGATAAAAGCTGAAAGAATTACTTTTTTGAGTAGGGAATTTTTATGTACCTCTTAAAAGAAGGTTGATTGAAATTCACTTTAATAGGTTCTGTAAGTAAAACGGGTCTAAACGGCCATTTTTTCCTGAACATTTTTTTAATAGTACGTTACAATTTTCATTCTCCCCCCCTCTCCGGCCCCCCCTTAGCCCAGATTAAATGAATAGCAAAATGTGGTTTAACTGCTGAGATGTAGCTCAACCCCTTTTCTAGTATTCCTAGTTCAGTTGCGAAAAAGTGTTTCAATTTAGTCTACGTGGTTCAACTACCTCTCACATTCATTAAAGAAACTGAGTTCTTTCCAGAAACTCTGATCTGTAATCCCTATTTGTTTGCCACCCGATGTTTATCAAATAGTCGCAAGTTAAAGATACATAATTAGTTAACAAAGAAATGTAGAGATTAGGAACTGTTTGCGGCAAGAACTCATTTCCTTTGGCTCCTGATAGAGATAATCAATAAAACGTGGGTTTAGGCTAAACTTTAAAAATTCTTAGTTTTTGTAATTTTGAAGGAACATTTTTTTCAGGGCTATCCCTTCGGATTGATGTGGAGTATGTTCTGCGTATTTTGTGTTCTGGTTCATATAGCTGAGATAGCTGTTGCCAGAACTCTAATGGCGGCCTGGGCCCCCAGACACGGCAAGAAGGCGTAATTATCTCTTCATGAAAACCGCTTGACTCTCATGTTTTTAAAATGAAGTTTTTATTATTAAGTAAAAAATGATATTTTTTGCTATTCTAGTATTTGTAAAGCAAGTACGTGACTTTAAATGCATTATATTCATTCACATTTATAAGTTTTTTTTACGTTTTTATTAAAAAATAAATAATGTGGTTAAATATTTGTTTGCAATAAGAGTTATTTTCGGATGATAAGAAAACTGTTAGAAATTTCTAAAAAGTATGAATTAACATTTATATCTATTGTAATCACATTTTGCTAGTGTTCTACGTTTTTATTAAAAAAATATATATATGCTAAAATTTTAATCTCAAGTTATTGATAGAGATATTTCTGTAAAAAAACTTATTTTTCTTGTTTATCCCGATATTTTCTTAGGTTTTCTGCATTTTTTAAAAACATAAATATTGAAGTTGAAATATTTATTTAAAAAAAAAATATGTAACGAATGTTTGCTGTACTGTGCATTGTGCAAGGTGCACCAGGAGCAATGTTATGTTTGATGGTGTGGCATTTTACCTATAGATCTGTCAATTCAGGCATCTTTACTAACATTTATTTACCGGATTTTTTTTTTCATTTTCAATGGAAAAGCTTTCGGAATTTCAGAACGACTTTTAACTGGAAATTTCTGGAACATTCCGAAAAACTCTGGTTTACGGAAAAATCGTCAAATAGTTAAAGAAAATAATTAACTTTAAAAGCATAGATTAGTTAAAATAACAATTAGGACACTAGATTTCGTCTTTCAAGATTAAGGAGGCTTTCGTTTATAGTAACCATGAGGCAAGAAGCCCAAAGGAGTTACGAGCATGCTGCGTAGAATTACAAGACAGAGAGAGAACCTGTTTTACGCCGACTGCGCGTAACACCTTTGGGCTTCTGCATCAGGGTTTTTGTGAATGAAAAACCCCTAAATCTTTCTGAACATATTTGTTTTCAAAAATAAAATTATGGTTTAAATATGTGTTTGTTTTTAAACTTGTTGGAAAGTGTAAAAGTATATTAATTAACCTTTAAATTCATTTTGTTTAAATATATATTTAATAAAGAAACGTTCCTGCAACTTTCATTCTTTATAGTGAAAGGTACTGCTGATGATTATAGCATTAGGTCAGATTAAAAAAAATAATTTTTTCAAAATATGGTTTTTTAAGGGAACACAACATAACGACTGCTGTGTTGGTCCCCCAACCATCACCCTATGCAACAACTTGAATACGCCCCTGGCAAATAGGATTTTGTTTCCAGTTCATCAAAACTGTCACTTAATTTTTTATAAGTGGCAGTATGAATTCCATATTTTTAAAGAAAAAAAACAATTAATTTAAAATATTTTAAATACTTATATATTTTAATACAATAAAACAATTACATTAACATTAACAATTACAATTGATGGAAATAAACACTTTCTTAGTTTTACTCATGGATTTATAATACTACTTACAGTGTACTGATTGCTTAAATTTTAAAACAGGTATAATTTAATCTTAACTCAATTGGACATAACATACTCTAAACTAAATGAAATATTTGTACCATTATAAAAAAAAACTTAACTGAATTTTTTGCTTTAACTAAACTTTGTTCATATAATATGAGATTCTCATCAAGAATCGCAATGAGCACAATCTTACTAATCATGCAAACATCAAACTGAAAAACCAAATGAAATATTTGCACAATTCTATTAAAAACTTTACTTAAAGGACCTTCAAGTGAAAAGATGACAATGCCCAATTCACAGGGCACCCTTGTAACCTTTAAATCCCACAATTGATAAAAAGTCAGTATTATTATTATAAATATTGATACATAATATATACTTGACCATACACAGATAATAATTGGGTCTGTTGTGAATCAGGAATTGTAATCTTTGGATGTAAGGTAACTTTAATATTTGCTTTTACTCAAATTTGTTCATGTAATATTCAATGAGATCTTTATCAAGACACGCGATGAGCACAATCACGCAGTATTGACAAAATCTTCGTTCAACAACTACAATAAAAGCTGTGCTATAAATACTAACTAAATTGGCGACGGTAATTGCTAAGCATAGCAAAGATGTTCCTGTAGCAATGCTGCTTGTTCTCATAAACAATTCCTTTGTAACTTCCATGAAATGTGTTAAAGTAATGTTATGTCTGGGCAAAATGGGCTGCGTTTTGGGAGTGTTGTTCACCAATGTTTTAGAAACCTTAGTCCTTGTTGAAATATGCCTTGCTGTCATCTGAAGAGAGTTTCTTCTTTTCTGGTTGATTTGAACATTACGGCTAGATCTTGTAGGGAAAGATTCTGTTCTTCTAAACTGAGTCCTTCGCTGAACTGAGTCTGACGGTCTGATATGTATTATGACAGAGTTTCCAGCTCTACCAACAGCATTACCTTGAAAAGTGGTGGGGTTATCATAGACAGCAGAAGGACAAGTAGAAGTAATTGGAGTGAACTTAGTATCTTCAGTAATACAAGCTGAAGTAGAAGCTATGAGGGATGGAAGGTGAGTTGAAGTAGGGGGAACGGAAACAGACACTGAAGCTGAAGTAGAAGCTATGAGGGAAGGAAGATGAGTTGAAGTAGTGGGGTAGGAAACAGATGCTGAAGTAGAAGTTCTGAGGGAAGGAAGGTGAGCTGAAGTAGTAGGGTAGGAAACAGATGCTGAAGTAGAAGTTCTGAGGGAAGGAAGGTGAGCTGAAGTAGTAGGGTAGGAAACAGATGCTGAAGCTGAAGTAGGAGCTATAAGGGAAGGACGGTGAGTTGAAGTAGGAGGGTAGGAAACAGATGCTGAAGAAACAAGAGCAGCTGCAGAGACTTGTGGAGCAGAAACAGGAGCAGGATTAATTCTAGACAATGTTTCCCTCTTCATATTTAGCACTATAACTAACCTGGCAATTTCCAGTAGAATGGTGCTGAGAAGAACAACTGGAGTAATTGGTAATGGATGACAAATATAAGAATCTTTTATATCTTCTTCAGTAACATTTAGATGAGTGTTGTTAATTGACAGCTCCCTTGAATATGAGGACAATCCCATCTCAGCTTGAAAATTTAGGATGATCGAACTTATCGGGGTCTCAACCCCACTGTAACATGTTATCCAATTGTATGCAGTGTCAACAACAGTGATAGCAAACACTCCGAGACAAACTGCAATAACTCCAGTTGTTGGGTTGAGATTGTGGAATACTACAGGGGTTGCAAACAGTATTAGTCTTCCGAGAGATAAGCAACAGATTATGACTGCTTCCATTCCACCACTTATCCTCATTGACAGGAAAGATGCCGCAAGGGCAGGAAACTGGTTGTAAAACTCCTGTAACTCAGAGTGAAAGAAACAAGTCACAATTGCCATAACGTAGTTTCTAACTGTACCTAACAACCCAAAAAGGACACCAAGAGCAAGAATTCTGTTGAGTAGATTCTTCTGATTAACTGGTCTTGTATTGAGAAAGTGAATAAGCAAACTGCTGGCAATCGTAGTTGTTAAGAAGCCAATAGTGTCAATTGCAAAGGTGTAGTAATTAGGAAATGGAGGAACTGATAGCATAATATTTACATATGCCACCAACAGTGCCAGTTTCATAGATTTATTAAAAGCCATGTCTCTGTCTACTTGCTCATGGTCTGCATAACAATGAGGGATAATCTAAATATTCTCTAAATATTATATTTTCATCCTACCACTCAAGAAAGAGAGTTTCTCAGCAAAAAGTTGAAAGTTTTCAAATTTGAGAGACTAACAAGGAATTAGGGTTCTAATGGGACATAAAGTATTCTAAAAATATAAAATACACAGGAATTAAAGATTAAAGAAGAAAAATATTAGTAAGAAGCCTCTCAAGTCGGCTTTGTTAAAGGGCATGTGAGCGTAATTTCAAATGACGTTTAATTTTAAGAGGGGAATCTCTAATTCACAACCTTTAAACCTGTGCTTGACATGGATGTTAAATACTTTAATTTTAATTTCTACAGAAACGCTTGTAAGACAAAATATAAATATTCAAATTCCAACTTTTGAATACCATGTTGGACAAAGAATATTCCAGGAATTGGAAAGATTTATAAATGTTTGAGTAGGTTGACGACAAAATGTCAAAAATAAATTCAAAGATCAAATACAACTTTAAAGTCCTTTTGCTACTGTCATGTTTTGTAGGACACCCTGTAATTAAAAGTGGTTGTTATAAAAAAGGAGAGGATAGAAATAAAATGGGGAGTCAGGACATAAGAGATAAATTTGAGTACAGTATACAAATTAAATGGAGTACAAGACGAAAATAAAATTAATTACAGAATGAAATATAAGTGGAAATAGGAGTAAAGGATGAAAATGTAATGGAGTAAAGGACGAAAATGAAAGAGAGTACAGGATGGAAATTAAATGGAGCACAGGATGCACTAGAAATGGAGTGCAGGACGAAAAATTAAGGTGAGTACAGGATAAAATGAAAGCGAGTACAGGATGAAAATGAAATGAAGTACAGGATGAAATAAAAATGGAGTACAGGACGAAAATTAAGATGAGTACAGAATACAAATGAAGGTGAGTACAGAATACAAATGAAGGAGAGTACAAGATGAAAATGAAATGGAGTACAGGATAAAAATTAAATGGTGTACAGGATAAAAATTAAATGGAGTACAGAATGATTATGAAATGGAGTACAGAATGAAAATGAAATGGAGAACAGGATAAAAATTAAATGGTGTACAGAATGATAATGAAATGGAGTACAGAATGAAAATTAAATGGACTACACTGTTAAAACTCAATTTGACTTGCAGATTTCCAATATTTCAAGTTTAATGATAAATAGCAAGGTTTCTTGAGGGCGAAAAGGCAGAAAAGAACACAGCGTTGAAATATTTTTTGTCAAAGGGAAATGTTTAATTTATAATCCAATTTTATTTAGGTTTTCGGCATCTCCATGGGCATTCTATGAAACCAGAAATTTAATGTGGAGTTTTTTAACTATTAAAATCTGTATATATTCTCTTGCCAGAAATTGAATGTGTAATTTTTTAACTTATCTTTATCTATTCTCTAGTTTAAATTAATAAATCACACAAACTTATGGTTTTTTTGTTGTTTATTTTGATCAATTTGGAACAATAAGTGTACAGCAAATGGCATTCTAGGAATACGGCAGGTCT